TCCCATATTACATTAAGTTATATAGAATATGCTATATTTTATATATAAATTATTCATGCTTGATCCTATATTTTAACAAAATATTTTGCTTTTTGCTTTTTTAGGTTTAGCCCAGTCAGGTGCATGGGGTTGCTTTGATGAATTTAACCGCATTGAACTTCCAGTTTTATCAGTAGCTGCTCAGCAGATATATATCGTACTTCAGTGTAAGAAAAATAAGAAACCTCAGTTCATTTTCACTGATGGTGATGTTGTTGACATGGACAGAGAATTTGGTATATTTCTGACTATGGTATGTGTGTGAATATGTATAAATGGCATCATTGTGAAAAATCTTTCCTATTTCATTTCCCTTTGAAATTTCCATGTTGAAACCATTGGAAATGTCTGTTAGAAAATAGTGAATACAATTTGAACAATAATTTGGTAAAATAACCATGCTGATATTTTCTCTTCCTCATATTTTTAACTAGAACTTAGGACTTGAGGTATGCAATAATCATTAACTACATATTTTAAGGGCTTTTTTAGTTGAATCTTAGACGGATTGAGACTAAACCCAACCATCTCATATTTTTAGTCAAAGTCTGTCAAAATAAAATAGAAGTAATTGACCACTGCAAGGACTACTGTAGTTGGTCTGCTCAGTATTTCACCGCCTGTGAAAAACTTTTGACCACAATCCTTCTGTATGACAGCATGAAGGAAACCACCCTCACTCTGGTTCACTGGCCTCCTGAAGATTTATCTTTGATCCCCGTGGACTGCTTCTAGCAGTGCAGGAGGCCAAGAAGCAGGAAAACATAGTACCTTAAAAGACTCTTTGTATCTTCCCTGCCTTAGCTGTAGGCTACATACCCACAACTCAGAATGGAAGCATTTGTCTTTATTTCAAGGTTTCCTACCTTTGAAAAGATGTTAATATTATCGCTTTAATTTGAAAAAAAGAGTGCAAATTAGTGGCATACAAAGGCCATTGGGAAGACAGTTTGGAAACAGCTGGAAGAGTTTAAGAAGTTACACTGCGTAGCCAGCGACTGCTGTTCTCACAGCTGAGCCATGCAGTAGTCACATGAATGACTTAGACATCTTCAGTGAAAGGTCAGATCCATTAGTTTAAATTATGTTCGGTAATGGCTTGCACTGCTTGACTGACTTTGCACTGAAATGGTCTGGGAGTGCTCACAAGGGATAGTAACCTCCAGCACTGGAACACTATCAAGACCCTGAGGAACTAAGCATTTAAAAGAGCTCCAACAAGATCTGTAAGTGGTTGTCTGTCTATGTCTGTGTGTCTTGGGCATCTCCGAATGACATGTGCAATGCCACATAGTTCATGAACTGCAATGTTTAGGCAACTGTGTAGTAATGTGTAACTGTGACATCCTCGTTACCCTTTGCAATCTGCCACGTACTCCTGTGTTTGCCAAATAATTATCAGAAAAGATAAACCTTTCTATCCTGCTTTCATTATATAATATTTTATTTTGTATTTTGCATTTTTAGAACCCTGGCTATGCAGGACGACAGGAACTTCCAGAAAATTTGAAAATTCAGTTTCGCACAGTTGCTATGATGGTGCCTGACCGTAGCATTATTATGCGAGTCAAGCTGGCAAGTGCTGGTTTCCGAGACAACCAAGTCCTTAGCCGAAAATTCTATACACTCTACAAACTCTGTGAAGAGCAGTTATCTAAACAGGTAAAATAAATATTTGTCCAACTGTAAGCTGTCACTGGAAGGGTATGTAGAGAATATACTTTCATAGAATATATAATTATTTTTACACTCATGAATGTATTCATTTTTTAGAGTTTTCAGTTTCAAGTTCTAGAAACAGAGTCTGAAACCATCATGTTGTTTTTGGTTTTCACACTAATTTGTGTAGTAAAAATACAATTTGTGATTTTTAAACAGAGTGCAGTTATTGGAGAAGTTATGAGGAATGCTGTATATTGCTCTGCTGAACTTTGTAGAGGATACAGTTATCAGTCACCTCACTAGATATATTGGAGAGGCAGTGTAAGAATTATAAATAACTGAAGAGTGCCTAGAAGGCACTGTCTTGCTGAGTGCTACCAGAAAAGTGCTATTATGTTTGGTATGGGGTATTTAAGTAGAAACAAAGGACAATGCTGCTTTTAAGAACAGAACTAGTTGCCTTTTGAATGCCCTGTGCTGGCTGTCCACTAGAGGGTCTCAAAGAGAAATCATATGAATGGTAGGTAAGCTGCAGCTCAAATGCCTGCTTTGGATGGATCCTAACGAGCCTGCGCGTATTTCTTATCAACGCTTATAAATATCTGAAGGGCTGGTGTCAAGAGGGTTGGGCCGGACTCTTTTCAGTGGTGCCCAGTGACAGGACAAGGGGCAACGGGCACAAACTGGAACACAGGAAGTTCCGTCTGAATATGAGGAACAACTTATTCACTGTGAGGGTGATCGAGCACTGGAACAGGCTGCCCAGGGAGGTTGTGGAGTCGCCTTCTCTGGAGATATTCCAAACCCGCCTGGATGTGATCCTGTGCAACCTGCTCTAGGTGATCCTGCTGTAGCAGGGGGGTTGGGCTGGATGATCTCTAGAGGTCCCTTCCAACACCTACTATTCTGTGATTCTGTGGTTCTGTGATATCGACTATATTCGCCATTATATTATTTCAGTTCTATACCACATATTTATTAGTGACTATGTTGACTTCCGTGTAGAAATCTTGGATTACACCAGAATAACATAAGGATGTATCATATTGCCCTTGTTATTTCAGAGTTAAACCAAAAAAAGTACAGAATTGGATTTTCTCTTCCTTTCTCCATACCTCTCTATTTCGCTTTCAATATATATAACCAAACTGGATTCCAATTTTCATTTCTCTCAGGTTTCTTTTTCTAGGAGAGTTTTACTCACCAACTTTATGTTGTAGACTGGCCTCTGAAGGGTCATATTTGCTACTGGCTTCCCTGTGATATTGCCCAGGGTGTCTTCATTAGCCTTCAAATTAGTTTTTAGGCAAACTGAATCATCCTATATTGATCTAGCATCACTAGTGTTAGTCCATTTGTTGCTGTCCAACGTACTCTCTCAGTCCTGCAATCTGCCTGTGTTTTGGAGTTGCCAGGCTTATAGGCTGCATTTGTCTGAGGATCATTTTCTAAGACCTCTCTCTCAAGTGGAATTTGTGGACTTTGTTTAGGAAAATTTGTGTATGCACAGTTTCAGCAGTTAGCAATTTAGCTTGTCTCTGGAGTATTGAATATGGGTCTCTCTTTTTCCTCAGGCTTGGCCTCAGTAGGATTAAATTATCTCATTGCCTCAGTTTGTGTGGTCATTTTTGTCCTGGACATGTGTAGTTTGGTCATTTCTGCAGCAGAAACTGCCCTGGAGGCTCTGAGACAGCAAGATTCTCCATTTAGCATGTTAATCAACATATTGAAGCATATAAGTAGTGCTTATCAGTTGGCCTAGGGATTGTAGGAACTGCCTGGAGGGCTCTGTGGAGCTATCCGAAATTCTCATCTGGAGAACTCCTGTACCAATTAGTCAAATGCTTTGTTGTGAAGGCACATTGCTCAATCACCTTGTCTGAGGTCAGTCCTTGGCCTCATCTATGCTGATGCTAGAAAGGGAGTTCCTTGATATTAATTAATGGAAATTAATGACCAACTCCTCTGGGTGTGCACATGGGCACAGCCCTTACACCTAGCTACATCACAATTATATATTTGAATTTTATGCTTATATCTCACTTATAACTTAAATTCCATAGTTCTTACTATACAAGCCATGATGTCTGTGGGGAACAGTCTTCTATGTGTATTTATAATTTATGCAGGATCCTCTAACATCTCTCCAGCATCAATCAAAGAAGCCTACTATGCTGATCTTTGCTCCTAGCAGTGTGCATCATGAATTGTGATTATATACACTCTGTAATGTGAGCCAGGAAGCATAGCTTTCTGCAAACACATGGTATTATGTTAGTTTGTCCTGCCTGTGCCTGTCAGCAGCCCTGTGGACAGTCCTGCTCTTGTACAAATCCATTATATACAATTATAAAATCAGAGAAGAACTGACTTTGGAAGGGACCTCTGGAGGTCAACAAGTCCTATACCTGTGCTCAAAGTGGGGTCAAATAGAGCAAGTGGCTCAGCACCTTGTCTAGGTGAGCTTTGAATATCTCCAGGGATGAGGACTGCACATCCTTTCTGGTCAAGCTGTTGAAATGTCTGACCGTCATGTCTAGTCACCATTTTGTCTGTGAGGATGTTATTTGAGACAGTGTTGAAATTTCCTGGAATGCCTCTTCCCTCTTGTGTTGCTCTTCCAGCAGATATTGGGGTGTGTCAAGCCCACAGGGAGAACCAGGCCTTGCAAAGATGAGGCTAATTCCAGTTGTTGGAGAAAAGTTTCATCAGTTTCTTCCTCATCAGGAAGTTTGCAGCAGACATGTGCCACAGCATTGATTGGCCCTCTAATCCCAACCCAAATGCTCTCAACTGTCTCATCAGCCATCCTGAGGCAAAGCGTTCCCAACTCCCATCCAGCCCTCCTGGCTTGTTCTTCCTAAAGAACCTGTATCCATCCATTGCAGCACTCCAGTCTTGTAAGCTATCCCACCACGTTTCTTTCATCCTAGTTAGACTGTAGCCCCATAACTGCACACAGAGCTCTAATTTTTCCTGTTTTGTTCCCATGCTGCATACATTAGTGAACAGACACTTCAAATTGGCACCTGCTTGTGCTGGTTACCCAAGAAAAATGTGAGAGCTTCTGCTATGATGCTGTTCTCTTGGCCATTCCTCATCTGCATGCATACGCTTGAGATGTGCCACTTTCCACACTGTTTTTTTGTTCTTGAGGTCTCTCTTGTCCACCTTAGACTGCATTTTTTGCTTTTCAGTTGGGTCCACCACTTCCTCACTTGAATGTGAGTTGTTCTCTCCCTCCCCCATCATTCACAGTTGTTTGTAGTAGCAATGGGATATTTTGAAAGACTTGCTAAGTTCTTTGTGAAGTTTGTTGTAGGTTGGGGAATACATCTGATGCACTATGTGATTATATGTAGACAGAGATCTAATGAGTTCATCTGATTAGATATGGAAGTTCCATGAACTAGAGATATTTCTAAGAGTGCAGTGGGACACAAATTGCTTCTGTCTGGCCAGCAAACTAGAACTATAAAGTGCAGACAGGCTTTCTTAGAGGCATATTAATCTGTCTTTCCCAGTGGAACTTATTTATTTAAATTTTTAATGGTCAATTTTAAATTCGAAAAAAGTACTGCTGGGTATCCGGGCAGATGACTGGAAAGAACAGGGTCACATAAAGATCAGTGCAATAGGAAAAGGCAGAACGTTGCCTGTTTTCAGCAAATGCAGTATATATCGGCCAAAGAAAGTAACAACAAACAAGCATTCACCAGCTGAACTTAACCCCCTCAAAACCTAAAAGGAATTTGCCAGAAGGAATACATGGAGTCCTCCACACGTTTTACACACACAGATCCAGACTTTGTGGAAAGAGGAACTTGACTAACAAATAGCGAAAGGCACCCTGAGTGACTATCATCTTCTTCAGTAAAGAAAAATATACAGAATAGTATAGGAATAGTCCTTAGCAAATATAGGAAGCCCAAGGTGTCCACAAGCCTGTGAAACAGTTATTCTGACAGAACCCCCAAAGCTGAATTATTTGCCTTTGTTATAGGACTTCTAGCCAAAGTTCCCTACTGCCTTCTTCCACAAAGCCTCACGCAGATTAGGGAAAACCGTAGAAACTGGAAAGAAAAACCTAATGAAGCTTAAAAGCAAATAAGACCATAATCTCTTTTTGAGGATCATCTCTTAAGGTGCTTTCATATGGAGAAAACCACTGATACCCCTTTTTTCTTTTACCTGCAACAGCAAACTATGCTTCTAGTGTTGAGATTTTTATTTGCAGATTTTTAATTCTTCTTTACAAGAGCTTCAGCTATACCACTGCAGTCCATTTTGACCAAGTGCAATATTTTTGCCTGCTGTTAAAAGATGGAGGAAAGAAATAGCTCATAATCCACATTTGTCGGTAAATTCTAGATGTTCTGTGTCATTCCTGAAAGGCAAAGCAGTTGTAAAACTGGCAGACTGATTAAGGAAAATAAATGATGGTTGCTTTGAACAACCTGTCATGTAGGTCAGTTGGGGCACACCAGAAAATGTGCCTTTTTTAAAAGTAATTTTAGTTTATTTTAAATTTTCTAATACGTATGACAGTATTTCTTCAAACTTAACAAAGTCGTCACCTCTATAGAATCATAGACTCACATAAGTTGGAAGGGACCTCCAGAGGTCCTCTTGTCCAGCTTCTAGCTCAACACGGGTCAATTTAGAGCAGGTTGATAGGGCACTTGTTGAGTTTTGAATGTTTCCAAGGGTGGAGATATTCATTCTCTCTGGGCACCTTTTCTGTGTTAGACCACTCTCATTGTGAAGAATCTTTTCCTTATGCAAACCATTGTAACTTCCCCTGTTGCAAATTTTGACCAGTATCTCTTTTCATCTCACTTGGTCATCCATTGCTGGACACATTCCAGTATGTCAATGATGGTCATCTAGCAACAAGAAAAAGAAATGTATCAGCCCTTGTCATGATTCTGGGTATTTCACTAGGACATATAATTTACTAAATGATAGCAGGCTTCATCATCAACATATAATCTGCCTTCTGAACTTCAGAGGAAGTTGTTAATCTTTTTGTCTTAATATTTCCATCTACAAATGAGATTTCCTGGCAGTACCTGGCTGAATATTCACATCTAACTTTTTCAACTTCTAACAACTTGGTTCCTGATTGAATAATAGAATACAAGGCTGGATGGAGCCTTGAGGGATCATCCATTTACCTTTCTGGAGGAAAAATAATTCTTAGCTAAACAATTTGCTATAAATGTTTGTGACTCTCTTTAACATTTTTCATTGGCAGATAGCCTGCAGTTTCCCAGACAGTCTATTCCAAAATTTCATTTTCCTTATGGTCACAAAGTTTTCTCTGAAAGTCAGACTCTCCCTTGGTGTAGTTAAATACATTACTTCTTTTCCTTTCTATTTCTTCTGTCTTCCTCTTTGCAGCTATTTTTTGCATGTTGAAGAATTTTACCGTAACTCATCTTACATATTTGATTTTGGTTTACTTCTTCCTGATATAGCATGTTTTCTGGTCAGCCGATAACTTTTAATTTCTTTTCTAAATTATCTTCAGTAGGGTTCATCTTCAAGTGTGGAATCTAACTTTTGGGCACAGTACGAAGTACCAGCTGCAAAGGAAACACCCTTTCAGCTGTTTTAAAAAGGACACTTTTATTGCCCACTGTAATTGTAGATAAGTCATTGGGCAGTTTTTGGTTTCAGTCCAATGTCAGATATTTTTCTGCAAAGCTTTCTGCACCTGACTTGTTTGTCAACTGAATGAAGAAGGGTTGTTACTCTTTATTTGAGCAGTTGGTTATTTCTATTTGTGTAGTATTTTGCGCTTGTCTTTATTTAATTGCATCACACATAGAACATTTATTGAATTTCTCCTACTAATTTTGAACTCTAGTTGTGGTCTAGTTCACTAGCTTGGTATCATCAGCAAATCTGATCAATAAGTTATTTCTTGCTGAAAATTCTGGGTTGTACTCAATGTATTGTTCCAATTTGTCAGCCTGGGAAATAGGGGTGGGGACTGGGGAGAAGGTGTTGTTTTAATTTTGTCTTTGTTTCTCACTATCCAAATATATTCTAGTTGGCCATATATTAAATTAATTTTCCCCAACTCAAGTCTGTTTTGCCTGTGATGGTAATTGTTAAGTGATCTCCCTGTATTTATCTTGACCCATGAGCTTTCTGTTCATCTTTTCTCCCTCTGTCCTGTTGAGCAGGGGGAATGAAAGGGTGGCTGGGTGGGCATCTGGAAGCTGGCCAGTGTTAACACACAACAGATAGCATAAAAAAGAGTCTGTGCACTTGATCTCAAAAACATTTCTGATCAGTCAGAGGGAGCAGATATTCTCCAAATGTAAGCATATCTTTACTGTCTCCTTCCATGTCTGTCTTTACCACTTAGTTTTCCGAGCAGCTGGCAGTAGTGGAGACTTTATAATTTAAAACCTTTACTGTGATAGCTTTCTGTCTAGGATGTGCATTAATGGCCAAAGAGGAAACCCATTACAGAACATTTGCATATATTTTCAAATCTATGTAGACTAAGACAGAATTGTATGTTTAGGTACAAGTGTTAAAATTAATTGAGTATGTCCGTATGGCTCTGCAAATATGCAGCTGTGCCTGTAGTGAAAGGGAAGATATTCCAGCCCTTACCAGCCTAAATCCAAAGCTGGTTAGATTCACCTTGAGGATGCACATGGCTGTTGGAAGTAAATCCTTCTGTAGGCTTACATAGAACAAATTGTATCTGAATATTTTCAGTATGTTTCTTTATATCAGCAAGATGTTGTCCCTTTTAGTCATGAATCCCATACCATATATCAAGATAGCAACAGTCCTTGCACAAGCAGAAAACAGAGGGCAGTCTGAAGATGTGTGGTTTGCTGTTTGTGCATCTGGAAAATTATGAATTTAGGAAAATGATAGAAGATGCAGCTTTCAGATGACTTGTAAAAGTGATAGTCTAACACCAAAAGGGACACTTGGCAGGTATGGACATGCAACACTGGAAAACATCTTCAGGATACGATAGCAACAAAACTGGAAATCCAGTTGAAAAGATGAAGAGCTGTAAAATAATTCATCTTTAAAAGTTCAATAGCATATTTATTTCTTTAATGATTTTAGTTTTCAACCCTCTCTTGATTTTAAAGTGTTTAATCTTTGTGGTACTAATTGTGTTTATGTATTATTTCAAGGTTCACTATGACTTTGGACTTAGAAATATCCTGTCTGTTTTAAGAACACTTGGAGCAGTGAAAAGATCTAATCCCAAAGAGCCAGAGAAAACTGTAGTAATGAGAGTTCTGCGGGACATGAACCTCTCCAAACTGGTACTGGTGACTTCCCCAAAAAGAATACTTTGTTTGCATTTTTAAGTATATTTATTATGCACTTTGAAAAGCTCCTTTTCTTCAGCAATTGGATAAATTATTTTGCAGTTTTTAATATGGTCTGTCAGTGAGTGGAGAATCAGAATACAGTCATGGTGTGAGCACTAATTGTTTTTTAAAGAGAGGAAAACACATTGGAAGCCTTAGCTGAAAAAATCATTGGGAATACCATCAGATTCTAGGGAACCTAACCTGGTCCTCTAATTGGCTCTTGTTTTTTCTTCTTTCTGCCCTATCTAAGGAGAGAAAGGAAGAATGCATCGCATTAACTTTTAATAACATCATTAAAGATCCTTCTTAATCCAGAATTTTAATTTATACATTTCTTGGGTATGTATTGCCTTTTCAGAACACCACAAGAATTGCAATGAGTGAGGTAATTGGAAGCAGCTAATGCCTACTTGTATAGTCTAATCTCTTTTGATGTTACTATTTAAAGTATTAATCTTTCTTTTTATTGCTGTAATTGAAAGGTTATAGCACGTCTAGTCTCTGTGTGTTTACCTTGGGAGCCAGTTTTGTGATGGAACCAATTACTCTGTTTCTGATGTTAATCTATTCAAAACATTGATACATGCATTCAAACCTATAGGCATGCTTCAGTGATTTACAGAAGGAAAAAAAAATCATAAAAAATCCAAGGCAAAATACGATTTGAATAAGTCTTGCTGGCTTATATAACAAATGAAGAAACGTGTGTGTGTGTATATTAAAGAAAACTGTATTAAGATGTTAACAGTTTTATAAGCTTTAAGTATTTAATTTAGAAATTACTACTTGTGGTTGCATTGTATGAAATTCGCTTACTAAAACTGATTCATAATTATAATATTTGCTTTGGGAAAGATAAGGTTTTCTACTGCCATCTTTTAAATGACATATTCTTGAACATTGTTTACAGCTGTAATAATAATTTCAATGAATAAATAATGTATTTCCCCCTACTTTATCCTCGACAGGTGGATGAAGATGAACCTTTATTTATGAGTCTCATTAATGACCTGTTCCCTGGAATTACTCTGGATAAAGCTGGGTATCCTGAACTACAGTCAGCCATCCAGAAACAGGCAGAGAAAGCAGGGCTTATTCATCATCCACCATGGATACTTAAACTCATTCAACTGTATGAAACTCAGCGAGTCCGACATGGTTAGCATGCTAGATGAGGTTATGAGACTGCATAAAAGCAATAGTTTTTTATGTTATCTGCTACAGAATGCAGATTATTTTCACGAAAAATGTATTTTAAAATTGAACAGATGTCATTTTTTAAAGCTTATGCGGATATTTTGCTAGGAAACTGTTATGACCTTTTTTGGTGTGCACACATAGTGAGTTTTTAGCTTTGTTGTATTACATTTTTATGGGAAATATGAGAGTGGCCTTCAGTGATTGAAATTTCTGGGGAACAAGTTAAAATGCAGAGTATACATTAAAATTCAGAAACAGCCAATTTTGTTCAGTGTTCTGAAAACAGTTGTTGCCCTCAGACACAGTTCAGTCATGAAGCTCAAGTTTAATATTACTGTGAGATTATGATGCTGAGAAGATTATAAAAAATAATCTCTCAAACCTTTACTTCGATAGATTCTACCAAACATGCAATGTAATTCCAAGTATTGTTCTTTGTGTTCAATTCTGGCCATTTACACTGGGGAGAAATAAGCCCACCTCCTGCTGGACCAGGGGGGTTGGACAAGATGGCCTCCAGAGGTCCCTTCCAACTTCAACCATTCTATGATTCTATGAAAATACATTTTTACAGTGCACAGAAGGCTAATGAGTAAAGTTTATCCTGTCCTAGGGAGGGTACCAAAGACAGTAGTAAAACCAGGTTTATAATTCATAGCTGAATGAAAAAAAAAAACCCTACTCTGAAATGTCCCCCACTCCTCTTAACTCTAAAAACTAAGAATTTTTTCTTATATGAAGGAGAACATATAAAGGAAATGTAACTAAAGGAGCAAAGATTTATGAAGATGTCATGCTTTTTATTCTCCCTTTTCATGTCATAGTACAGGAATAGTAAGCTTAAACTAATGGAACAAATAAAAGGGAATACTCATTTTTACAGCAGTCTGAGACTTTAATGTCTCAAATGTTTAGTTCAGATTATTGGCTAGACCAAAGAACTGGTTAATGCTGTGCTGAGTTAATAATTTACATCCAGATTGCTGAGTTCAGTATTCCATATCAAGTTATAACACCTGTATCTATACAGGAACCATGAAAGTTTTAATGATTTCAGTCACGATTAAATGTGCCTGTTGTCAGAAGCAGCTGTTTGGTCTGTAAGAGACCACAGACCACTCTTCCCCAGAATGGGGAACCATGGAATAGTCACCATGGAATTTCAAGTAATGAGGAAAAATCTGTAAAATGCATGACTTCTCTTGGCTGAAATAGAGGCAATATGTGCAAATGAAGTGGTCATGCACACACACCTATGCATGGAGATTCAGTGCATGGATCCTGAAATCTCTTTTGCATAACAGTTCTGATTGAAATGCTGTTGAAACCAGCAGAAAGGCTATCCCATTAACATTGAGGGGCTTGGATTAGATCTCCTCATATGTGGCATATGGCATGAGTAAGTGATTGTCTGGGTGCTCAAACTGGTTTTGGGAACATTCAGCTCCCTTTAGTTTTAGAGAAAACATCAAGCAGACTGCACTGAACTGGATTAGGTTTGTAGCTTGGGTTCGTGATTGTTCCATACCTTTGCTGAAGACTCATTTAAAGCCAACTAAGGATTATGTTGTCTAGTGGCCTTTAGGGTTAATAGGAGTTATCTAGCTTCCTTAGATGACTGTGGAAGTCTCAGTTTGAATGTTCCAACTGCTTTTGGACAGACTCTGGGCCCCTTGAATAGATGATTTAGAAAATATAGCTACAAAGGATCAACTGTAGGTTTAATTTATTCTTGAAGACATGGCTTCTTTTCCTTGGGCAATATGTGTATACACTGATGAAATTATAAGTGTGGTTGCTGTTAACTGTTTTTTATGTAAGAAAGATGTATTAAAATGTCAGCATGAATGGAGCAGGTACATATTTTTGTTACTTTTTCTTTAGGAAGATACACTCGATTTTGTATATCATTGGGAACTACTCGTTCTCATTAAATACATTTAGAAATGACTGGTTTTGTTTACCACCAGTCATATCAATGTCGTTGCATGCGAACATCAAAAGGCAGTTCTGTTTTCCAATTAGAAAAAGGAAAAGAACTGCCTGCGGGGGGATACAGACCCACATAGGCTTGCCTATCATAATAGACCAGACATTTATAGAGGCCTTTTAATAATATTTTTAAATTCCATTTCAGTTAACAGTAAGTGGAGTGAGAAACATCTTTTTTGTATTGACTTTTGATAAAAATAAAACAAAGATCGTTGAAGCAAAGAACCATTAAATAGTAGCATGACATTTTGACATTTCATTCTAAACCATGTTTATATTGTTTTAAGGTATGATGACTCTAGGTCCAACGGGTGCAGGAAAGACAAAATGCATTAATATTTTGATGAAAGCAATGACAGATTGTGGTGCTCCTCATAAAGAGATGAGAATGAACCCAAAGGCAATCACAGCTTCCCAGATGTTTGGTACCCTTGATGTTGCTACAAATGATTGGACAGATGGTATTTTCTCTACATTATGGAGAAAAACTTTAAAAACAAAGAAGGTAATGGATATTGTATCATGATAGTTAATAAGGACATTTAATACTGTTTCCATAAGATCTCATTACCTGTCATTTTTGTGAAAGATCTTCCATTATAAAATGAAACGGGAAAATACAGTGTTAGTTTTGTTTTGTGTCTGACTAGCTCAATGTATGCAAGAGTCAGAATTACGTGTATATGCCAGAGAGCACTAGGCTTCCCAAGCACTAGAGGTTCCTGAATTAAATTGGAAAAGATTTTAAGGGTTTCACTTCCTTCTGTAAGCAGGTAGTCCTACCATTTAAACAGAAAAGCAAGGGCTGTTCATGTTTTGATGTGAGGACAGGAAAGTTAGTTTTCTCCTATCTGGTTTTATGTCATTGTCACTCTATTTCACTAGTTACATCAGAATGTAAAAGGCTTTGGTAAGAAATCAGTATAGGCATGTCCCAATTCTCTTATCAGACCTGCAGATGATGTTTCACGGAATCACAATTACACTCAAATCTTCTGAAGTTTCATTCAGTTCTCACTTCGAAAATGGGAAACCTTACATGAAATATTTAGGTAACATCCCACAAGGAGTAACTGTATGCCTGTGTCTGACTGTATTTAATGGGAAATGTTTTCATCCACCTTGATGGATGCTGGGCTGGCTGATGTACTTTTGTAGAAGAAAGGAACAGCTTTATGCTTGGAACAGAAGAAAGGGAGAGCTTTATGCTTAGAACAGCACAAATTTATTTTTGTCGCTGTTCCTTAATATTCTTTTTAGTGTGACACAGGATAACAAAAGAAGGATAAAAATCACTGAGCAAATTATAGAAACTGCAGTTCATGCTGAGCTAATCAATACCAAATTATGACTCATTATTTATATCCAAGAGCACTTTCTCTGAGATTAAGGAAATGTGTATTTTTGGTCAATGTATGTAAAGTTGCATGTGTGTGTCTCCTTTTTTCAGGGTGAGCATATCTGGATAGTTTTGGATGGACCTGTTGATGCAATATGGATTGAAAATCTGAACTCTGTTCTGGATGATAACAAGACCCTTACTTTAGCCAATGGAGATCGTATTCCAATGTCTCCCAGTTGCAAAATTATTTTTGAACCTCACAACATTGACAATGCTTCCCCTGCAACAGTTTCTCGTAATGGGATGGTCTTCATGAGTTCTTCGGTGTTAGACTGGAAGCCTATTTTAAGAGCTTGGCTGCAGACGCTACCTGTTACATACTCTGATGTCCTATGGAATTGCTTTAATGCTGTATTTCAGGTACTTAATGCAACAACTTTAGAAAAAAATACTGCATTTCTTAGTCTTTATTTAATGAAGCATTGTTTCTTCCTCAATGCTTTTTCAATTATTTACTTCTCTTTGTTTATGTAATAAAACAAGGATGATGGATTTTAAAAAAAAAGAGAGAAAATTATCTCTGACATTAATAAATGAGTGAAACTGTAACAGACGAATGATTTGGATGCTTTGTTTTGTCTGCATAGGTTTGTTGGCAATGAATTGTTAAATCTGTGATTATTTTGTAATGTATGTTGGCAAAACAGAGATATTCTCTTTGGCTGTAATTGTTACTGAAATTGTAATTCTTGTTAGGATGCATAAAGGGAGTGGATAAACTTCCTTGTTTGTTCGAAATTGAAAGAAGTAAATTTGGAAAGAAATTAAGCTAGATTCACTCTAGTGGGATCTTTCTCAATTTCAGCTGCAACAGAAATGCATTTGGCCCATTAGTTATTTTAAAAGACATGCTGTAATTCAAATTAATTAAGGGCAGTTCTGTCTCTGTGGTGTTCCAAAGCTCAGTGAAAGTGACTATAGTAGTCTCTTCTGATTTTATAATCCATGATTCTGTTCCGAAGGAGATTTTTGAGATGGCATCTCTTTGATACATTCTCTGACTAAATCGTGTTCAATCAGTAGATCCAAAGGGAGAATTCTGAATGTTTTTTCCATCCATTTGGCCTTAGCATACTGAATCGTTAAAAAGATTTCATTAATATTATGGATGGTTGTACTCAATAGTGGATCTAAAAGCATAATCTCAGTAGTATACTGTTTTCAATTACACTGAAATTCTTACTTTTTCTTTGGAATTTTTTAAAGAAAGAGTTATTGCTTTGCCATTTTTCAGCGTTGTTATCTTCTGATTTTCTCAACATCTGTGGAACAAATACAAATTCCTTATATACTTTGCTTTCCCATTGGCTCTCTCCTGCCAGTTTTCTTGTGTGATTGGTGTTGGATTTCACAGGGGTTTCTACTGTCATATTTATCATTGTTGTTGGATTGTACAAATGCAGTTTTTAATGAACTTTGAGTGACATTGCAGAAAGTTTATTTATAAATCATGATAAAAGCAATGATTAATATGGTTTTGGAATGCCTTAAATATTAACAAATGTCTTCTTACAGATAAGTTTCATTTCAGTGCCTATTTACTTTAAAACCAATGTTTAACAAGCTATTCATTTTGTTCTACCTCCAAAACATAATGATCTGACATAGTATTTACTGCAGCAGCATGAGAAACAATTCTGATAATGAAATTTAAAATATGCTTCCGAAGTAATGTATATGTGGGTCAATTTACTGCTTCTTTGCCACAATTCTATTTATATTTTATGCTACAACTTGCTGTGAAAACATAATAACAACATTTAAAATACCCAAGCCTGAAGCAATAGCAATAAAGTCCAGAAAAATATGTATTTTATTAGGTTGAGAGATGAAAATGCAGTGAAATATGAAGTTAGTTTTCTGCTGAAGGCTGCATTTGGAACTATCGAAATGTAAATGAAAGCTGTCATACTGTCAGGTTTTTTTCACTTTTAATGAGCTATCTTTGCTTCTCAAATAATAGAAGTGATAACACTGATTTTACAGATGATGGTAACACTACTTTTGTATTCAGGTGGCTCTTTTTGCAGTTATTATTTTCCCCAACATAAAAAAAAAAAAAAGGATAAATAAATTCTAAAAGAAAATTTGTGAAATAAGATGCATCAACAGTGGTAGTCAAACCCCACATAGAGACCTTGGTGAATTTAATGCTAGTATTAAGAGAGGCATGGATATAAGCAGCTTACAAATATCTGATTTTTAGAAGAAACTGAAAATTAGGCTATAGATGGAAATATAGTAACTAAGGAGAGTCAGTCTTTAAGTATACCTACAGAGATCTTTTGAAAGCAATCTAAATTCAACCAAGATAGACATAAGACAACTACTATAGTAATTCCAATTTGCTTACAAAAAACATTATTTATGCTAATACAAATACTATTTGTCAGTGAAAGTCTGCATATTGGATAAAATCATTATTAATGAAGGTATAGCAAGTAGCAATAATGTAGGTGGAAGCACCAGAGAATAATAGTTATGAATCAGTGGAAAGAATGTATTTATTCTTTTCACGTATATTATAAACTCTACTGTAAGTCATTAGTTTTTATGTAAAAGACAGGAGGTAGTCCAAAAGACAAGGCTAAGTTTAAAAAAACCGAACACAACCAAACCCCTCCCCAAAAACCACCCCCAAAACAACCTTATTTTGAATTGAGATTATCTTTGAGTCCTTTCTGTTTCCACAGGATTTTTCTAAAATGGTGATTGAGGGGTTGGACTTTCACCCTCCCTTTCCCAGTTCTTTCTTCTCAGCAACATTTCCTGCTTAGGAGTAATTTCAAGTAAACTCCCATCCCCATCTATAGTCTCTACTTTTTTAAATTTAGGAGCTATACTGCCAATTTCTTGTCTGTGAATGATGCTGCTACCTATAAGCAACAAAATTGCTTAGCTAATGGAAGTAATTATCTGAGGCAGTTTCAAAGAACAGAAATAATTAAAATAATTACCTGAGTGGCATTATTTAGTTTGTCTGCAAAGTGTGAAGCTCAAACTAGTGATGGATGTTATGTGAGTAAGTTTCAGCATGTCTATGTATTGTTTAAATGAAAAAAAAATCTAGTAATTTTTAAATCACATTCACTTTCCCTTTTTTTTTTTGTTGTTGTTGTTGTTTTGTTTATAAAATCTGGTGTCCTGTATCCCTTATTGACCTATTCTGGAGACTTCAGAGAAGTCCTAAAAACACCAGACTAGTCACATGGGACTTATTCCTCCCTCCACATTAAATCTCACCCTAATCTTATTTGGGTAAAGGCTGCTATTGCCTCTGGAGCATGGACTTGAATATATAATCCAAAGAGTTTCTTAGCTTTAATATTTAAATGTTGATGTTCAAATTAATATTACAAATACTATAACTTTGCATTATTTAATTGTTCTTGTGCTTGTTGAAGCCCTTTGGATATGTTGCCAACTTCTTGTTTTAAAGAGCATTCTACAGTCCAAGTGAGTTCCACAGTGACTGTACGCTGTGCGAAAGGGTCTTTTCTCATATGAGTTTTTACCATCTGACTTTGTTTTGCAGTTTCCTTTTAAGGGATAGCAAATTCCTGATGCAAATTCTTTGCCATTTGTGTGTATTTGTCATGGCCAAACTAATTTTTCCAGACCCCCTGTCCAAACAAAATACCGTAATAAATAGTTAATTCATGCTAATTGCTATCTTGATCTTGCATCCTTCTTTCTGCAATGGATTGTTTTAAAAATAGTTTTAGCATGTAAGGACCTGATTTTTTTGTTTTTCATAAACTCAAAGAACAAGAAGCACACAAACCTCACTGGAATCATAAGTACCATAAAATTCGTTCAGATGAAAATTGGGCTCTTGAAAGTAGACTACTTTGACTCATGAAATATCTTTATTTAGAGTGTCTCAAATCAATTATTAAACAATATCTGCAGTGCCCTGTGAGACATCAAGCCTATTTTACAGATGAAGAAACTGAATCTCAGAGAGATTTAGGTCCAAATTTTAAAGGTTTTTAGATTCGAATCTCCCACACTGCTTTCAGTGCCTTACCTCTACCCATTCCTTGTGGAACCCATAAACCTCCAATTAGTCATCTGAGCAACCTTTGTACTGCTCGGGGCAAAACACACATTGTAGAAGGTAAGCCTCAAAAAGCAGCACACAGAGGTCAAAGCGCTTTTGGTAGTCAACAAGAAATAACATAAAAAGGGATATTTTTCTAAGCCTCCCTCCTGCTATGTATGCCCACATTCAGATTGTCTTCTTTCCTAGAGCCCTATTTTAGATTAAGATGCTTAAGTGAGTTTTTTCTCATAGTATATATCTTTGTTGTGTGTGTTACCCACTATTCTAGTGAGGTGGAACTCAGGAGGATGGGTAAAAATCTTGATTCATTCTCCGTGCCAATAAATACTCAGCATAGGGTACTTAGAAAACTTTAGTGGCTAAAAAAGTAAACTGAAAATTGGAACAAAGCTATTGAGTATGTGGGTAAGCAGCTCATTGATTTTTCAAAAATATCTAGGTGATTGTTTACATCTTTGAGTGATCGAATGTCTTCATTGTCTTAGCTTTCTCACTGACAGAACATGGGAGCCATAAATGGAAATCCTCCAAAATGACTATTTTCCATAGTGTCCCTATGTACTTTTACTTCCCAGACTGAGTAGGCAGTGTTGATTTCCAAAACTTACAAAGGCAAATGAAACCCATAGGGAGGGAATTATATTAAAAATTGTTAAATGAAGGTGAAAGTAGGTTATAATTTACATCAGTCTGTACTATGGATGGCAACTGATATTTAAAAATAATTCTGATCTCAGGGAGGACTTCACATCAATTTGAAACTTTGCTAAAGATGTTGCAAAACACTTGGCAAAGGCAAACATGGTTGCCATCACTATGGAATAACCTGAGGAAAGTCCAATTGCAATAAAACCAATTGCAAAATTCCCTTTGGATCCTGCCAGGATTCTACAGAAAACCAAGAGTATTGGTTTCAAGAGGGACAGGTACATTATGGTGTAGTCAGAACAGATCAGATTGATAGCAATTTATAGTGGTTGTGCAAAGGCTGTGCATTATATATGTATCATTACAACAATTCTAGTGCTTTTATCTTCCCACTACAAAAATGGCAATCGTAGGTTAAAATCTCCAGCGGAGAGTACAAATGGTAAATCCCTGATGTAACTGAAAAACAGTCTTCAAATTGCTCTTCAGGAAATTACTGTATGGGGCTTGTATGTGTAACTGGTGACTATGGTATAGCAAAGTAATTTTTCTAATACTTTATTGTTGACAAAATTTTATGGTCTAAGTCTGAAAATTTATAATACCAGAAATAGGGAAAAATGTTGTTTGGAATAAAATGTAGAAGATAGTTGAAATTAAGAAATTAGTCTCATCTAAGAATAAATCATACCATTGAAACTGGTAAACAGATTCTTTAAATGCTGTTTTTCCTTTCCAGGATGTGATAGATTTCATTTTCTCTGCTGTGACACCAAAAATGCCAATTTTAGAATGTATGTACATCAAACAAGCTATTGACCTCCTACAGGTAGATATGACATTCAGTTTTTCTCTCTCTCATTCTGTTATTTGTGCTGGGACATTTTTCCAGGAGGGCAGTCATTACATATTGCGTCTGCTTTGCAGGGTTTATTGTCTGACCGATATGAGAAGCAGCTCAGTGAGGAACATATTGCTCGCTTGTTCATTTTTGCTGTAATGTGGTCAGCTGGAGCTCTTTTGGAACTGGATGACAGGCTGAAAATGGAGCTGTTCCTGCGGAAACACTCCGCAGTGAAAGAACTTCCAGCTGTGAATGGAGAAGAAACTATGTTTGAATTTGGTATCAATGCTTGTGGCCAGTGGGAACACTGGTCAAAGAAGGTTCGTATGCTGTGACATGCTAAGCTTTCTTAATGAGTATACAAGAAAGATGTACTTGGTAAGAGGCGTATTATTTTAAGACCCTGTATAATTTGGATAGGAATATCAACCCTACCAAATGATCATGCATTTGAAGTAGCTTTGGAAGTGAAACGGAAGTGAGGTTAGCTTTGTCTACTGTCTATTGCCCTACTATATAAGAACTCCCGGCAAGGAAAAGCTTTCTTCATGTAACAGAGAATAGTGGAGTGAAAATATCCCATTAGTCAAACACCCTTTTAGAAAAGCTTGGCAAGGAACCTATTGATTATAAATGGATGCTTGGCTTTCAGGAAGAAAAGTTTTGCTAATGTACATTTTACAAAGTACATTTGGGTTTGTGTTCTGATGGGAAGTGATTGTGTGGGCAAGTAGAAAGTCTCAAACTTTTTTGCATGTCTTTCTTATGCAGGTCCCTGAATATATTTACCCTAAAGATTCAGTACCAGAATATACTTCCATTCTAGTTCCAAATGTGGACAGTGTCCGAACAGGCTTTCTAATGCACACTATCATGAGGCAAGGAAAAGCTGTTCTGCTAATTGGGGAACAGGGAACAGCAAAAACAGTTATGATTAAGGTATGTGGAATGGAAAAACATGTAATATCTTTGTATGATAACATTGCAATAATTGACATTGGCATAAATTTTAAATTAAAGTGTAAGAGTAATTGGGGTTTTCTTCAGATTACATACTAGCATTCTTACTAAGGCATTTTGCCTCACATGGCCTGCAAGCAAAAAAACGTAAGTATCTATACTTTAGTAAAAAAGGGTTCTTTTAAACTTTGCTAACTATGGCCACAAGGTCATCTGATAAATGCTCTTTCATATGCTTTCTTTTCTTTTGAGATGTCAAATTGGAGGTTTTGCTAAGAAAATACTGATCCTTGAAGGATTTTTTATTTCCCTGTGCTTTGGTGGTGGTGCCATGTGTGAACTGGTCTTTTGTACACCCTTACTGCACAGACTTTCTTCACCAGTCAAACTGAGGAGAAATAAAGAACTTCCTTCTTTACTCAGGGTAATTTTTCAGAGGGTAAATTTAGTGTTTGTTATCTGCTCTCTTAATTCCTTCACTGAAAATGACATACTGTTCTTTCTGCAGAAGAAAATAATAACAGGATTGCTATTCAATTAAAAAATACATGCTTTCCATATTATAAAATTACGCAGGTTAATCATATGACAGTTTAAAAAAATTAATAACTTACTACAGAAGAGCCAATAATCAGAAGGTTGAACAAAACCAGATGTTGTACCAAACTTGGCATCCCTTATTTGGAAAAATGCAAGTGTAATGTTTTTCAGCATGATGTCTGTGATTTCCAGGGGAATCTGTAGACTCTTTGATCAAGGAGAGGCAGCTAAATGAAACCGATGAACTGTTGGGACAGCTGAATTTACCATACAGGCATCTGTACCTCCAGTGGATGATTTGCAGAGGTCTTGAAATTGAAAATAACTGAAAAACACCGGCCTAAACTGACCTTTGGCTTTCTTAAAATCTGGAGCCATTTTGTGTCCTGCAGCCATGTGCTTTCTGAGCGCTAACATAAAGCGAGCTGTACCAATGCCAGCAGCCATTGATACTACTTTTTCAGCTTAGCTGTTGATGCCAACATGCATGCCGGTGTAATGTCAGCTTCTGTTTCTGGCACTAGCTGGAGAACTATTTTAGCAGAGTGAAGAGGCGAGGTCTGGGTGGTGGTCTTGATACTCTGCATACTGGATTTTGGCCAGATGCTGGCAACCTCCAGCCTTCAGCTGCCATTCCTGTCCCTAAAAATAATTGGAGCTGATTCTTAGGAGCTGCTTACCCCGTGTCGATTCTATAGAGCAGAGTATGTTCCTTACACAAGGGAGCATAATGCCAGTAGATATTTGATCTCATTTAAGGTTAGGAGTGAAAGTTAACTGCCTTCACAACTGTTCCCCCTCTGCTTTCTCCTTCTGTAGAATTTTGCATTACTACACCTTGTGGAATAGAAATTTCCAGATATAAACAGCTGGTTTCATGAAAAAGTAAAGACACTTCAGGTAGTAATCTAAATTAATCTGAAGTAATCTTCAGCATTGATTAGATATCAGTATATATCAAAATTAAGAACTTCGTGTTATTTAAGACCTTTACTCTCTGTACTATTAATTCATACATTGCCAACGCGCCCCCCCCCCCCGTTGAAAATTGCACCCAGAATTTGACAGTTTAACAAAAATAATCCCATTAAATAACCTCTTCTTTTTCAAAGATAGTTCTCATTTATGTACTGTGGAATGTTACTGTTACCATGTAAAGATTCTGAAATGCCATAACGAATAAAACACAAGTGTGTTTTTTGAATGGTTGTGTATTCGTAGTTGTAGTCGGTTGACTTTGGCCAGCTGCAAGACTCCCACCCAGCTGCGGGTTCCCTTCCCCTCCTCAGCAGAGCATGGGTCGAGAGAAGAACACGGAGGTCACTCACCAATTACCATCAAGGGCAAAACAGACTCGACTTGTGGAAAATTAATTTATTGTTAATTAAAAATAGAATAGGATGGTGAAAAACAAAGACAATACTAAAAACACCCTCCCTTCACCCCTCCTTTCTTCCCAGGCTCACCTTCACTCCTTCACTCCCAATTCCTCTACCTCCTCCTGAGTGGTGCAGGAGATGGGGAATGGGGGCTGTGGTCAGTCCATAACAGCTCCTCTCCGCCACTCCTTCCTTCTCATGCTGTTCCCTGCTTCCTCATGAAGTTCCTTCCATGGGATACTGCCCTTCACGAACTGCTTCATCATGGGTCCTTACACCATGGCTGCAGTTCTTCACGAACTGCTCCAGCGTGGGTCCTTTCCACGGGGCACAGTCCTTCAGAAATGGACTGCCCCAGTGTGGGTCCCCCACAGGCTACAGTTCCTGCCAGAAAACCTGCTCCTATGTTGGCTCCTCTCCACAGGCCACAGCTCCTGCCAGGAGCCTGCTCTGACATGGGCTCTCCACGTACTACAGTTTCCTTCAGAGCACAGCCACCTGCTCTGGTGTGGGGACCTCCAGGGGCTGCAGGGACCAACATGGTCCTACACGGGCTGCAGGGGGACAGCCTGCCTCACCATGGTCTTCTCCATGGGCTGCAGGGGAATCTCTACTGGAGCATCTTCTCCTCATCCTTCTGCTCTCACCATAGTGTCTGCAGGGCTGTTTCTCTCACATTTTTTCTCACTTTTCTCTCTCAACTGCCAGGCAACTTTTTGCCCTTTCTTACACAGGCTGAGAGGCTCTGGTGGGTCTGTTGGAGCTGGCTGGAACCAGCTGTGTCTGGCACAGGGAAGCCCTGTCCTCTTCTTGCAAGGTGCTGCCCCACAGCTCTCACTGCCACCACCTGGGCATCTGCACCTGTTACATTAGTTTTATAAGAACTATTGGAGCCCCGAGGAGAGGCCTGAGCAGTGACCTGCACCAGCTTGTCAGCTGTCAAGAGTAATCACCCAATACAGGACTCTTGCATGTACATGTGTAGACTGTCATTTGTGTGATGTCTGAGAAAAACTAACTTCCGAAGAGCACCTTTTCTTAAATTGAGATCATTGTATCAACATTGTATCAACAAAATTAGCAGTTTAACACTATTCATCAAAACAGTTTGAGGGGGCTTAGCTGTATCTTCCTTTCTATTGTCACACAGAGTGTATGTCTCACTGGAGTTGTTCTCAGAGCACTTAATCAGCAGTGATACAGGTTTATTTTTCTGAGATACCAAAATGGGAACATTTCTAGTCAAACCTGTTATAAAGATAATAATTTAAATTATGTTCAACTTTGTCATCATTGCAGAAGAATTCAATCTTTAAAAAAGAAATAATGTTGAAAGTCTGGAATTTTTAATACTATTTTTATGTCCCAGGACTCTTGCTAAACAAATTATTTCCCATGCTTTATATATATGCCTTGGTGTGACTCCAGGGTTACATCTTTTTCTTTCCGGTTCTATTCTAGAACCTCACCAAATACGAAAAGTGGAACTTTGTTGCTTTAGGGCATCAGCAGCAGCTGTGGGAATTGTTTGCATTCATAAAACCCAAGGATTTCTTTCTTCATTAAGAGAGAATAAATATCAGTAAATGCAATGATGTAGCTGGGTTTAATTTTACACTACCATTGTAAGATTTGTCCTGTAGTGTAAACGTGAAAAAGGATTTAGTTTTTCACTTGTTCCTTGCAGACTGCTGCAACAGGTCATCACTAACAGCTTGAATTTAGAAAAACCCTAACAATTGCTAATGCAAAGTTTATTTGCATCCTGAGTTGTCACATTTACTTGTTGTAACACTTAGTGAAGTCTGTTAAAAGCTTATAAATTTTAACACTGAGAAACTTTATGGAAAACAACCGAGAGGTTGGAGATGGTATATTTATCGTAAATAAACTGTTCTTTGACATTTTGAAGTTAATAGCAGGGCTGAGATTTTGTAGATGTCTGGTTTTTGCATGGCTGTTGAGCATCTGCATCTCCTTTTGGCTGGAGTTACTGGTGCACTTTACTTAAGATGGGTTTATCTTGCAGGATTACACAAGCAAGTATGATCCTGATGTTCACTTGACCAAATGCCTAAACTTTTCTTCTGCAACTCTGCCAAATATGTTCCAGAGGAGCATAGAAAGTTATATAGATAAAAGAATGGGCACCACGTACGGTCCTCCAGCAGGGAAGAAAATGACTGTCTTTATTGATGACATCAACATGCCTGTGATTAACGAGTGGGGTGACCAGGTAAAAGGAAAATGTTAATATTTGGGAATCGGTTGTCTTACCATTGCTGCTGATGGAAATGCCGATCTGTGGATTGCAAAAATAGGGAAGTTTAGGAAAAAGGTATTGTAATATGGACTAGACCACGTATGTCTACTAAAACCAATTTCCCCACGCCAGTTTTTGCCAAGACTGATGAGCTGTCAGTCCCAAAAGATTAGGATCAGCATCGAGCCACTTGGTGCAATCATTGTAGCTTTTGAGCCTTTTGTTTTGGTTACATGCAGAGCTTGCAGAATTTCCAAACTGGCTATGCTAAGAACCAATCTGAGAAAGGAAGCGTGCAAATCCAAGAAGCAATCAGACACTCTTTTCTTCTTCCATCTGCTCTGGACTTCAAAGTATGGGTATTATTAGGTGAAATCTAACATCACAGTTGACATCCGAGACTAGCGAGATGTCTTGAGGTATTGATAAATGAATACTTATAGATCTATACTCTGAAAACCTGACTTAAATTAAAAAAAAATTTACTGCTGAGAAAAAGTAATTTTCCTGCTCCCATTATAGGTCTGTAATCCCGTTCTGTCACTGCCTCTATACAACTGAATGTGTGACTATGTGCTAAGCTAACCATTCTTTGTCACTAGCTAAGTGCCTGTATCAATCTGAATATATAGTCTGGCTTCAAACTTTAAAGTGCTGAATTTTCTTAGATTGGTATTATGGAAATGCAGTTGAATGTCTGACCTCACGTCCACAATAACTTAGCATGTGAAGCTTACATGCAGCCAATCCACTGCATCAGAGTGTTTGGTACCATCTCGCATGGCTTTATAAACTGCTGAAGTGTCCAGCAGAATACTGGAAAATTAAGAAAGATAAGGGGTGTCTTTCCTTCTGTAAATTAATTTGTTATACTGGAGATTTCCTCTTTTCTTTTTTTTTTCATTTTTTTTTGAGAACCCTGAAATACTTAACTGTTCCATGTCTTTTTTTTTTTTTTTTCCAATAACTAGATCACCAATGAGATTGTAAGACAGCTGATGGAACAGAAAGGTTTCTACAATTTGGAGAAGCCAGGAGAATTCACAAATGTGGTTGATGTCCAGTTTGTAGCAGCTATGATTCACCCTGGGGGAGGTCGGAATGACATCCCACAGCGCCTGAAACGCCAGTTCACCATCTACAACTGCACACTGCCTTCCAGTTCCTCTATTGATAAAGTATTTCGAACAATAGCTGAAGGCTATTTCTGTGAACAACGAGGTTTCCCTGCAGAAATATGTAGACTGGCTTCAGCATTAGTATCTACAACTCGAAAGGTTTGGCAAACAACAAAAGCAAAGGTAAAATCGCATCTTTTAAGAAGCCTTTGAAACATCTGTACCATGACAAAGCAACAAGACCCAGGTCTTTTGTACTGTCATGTGTGTTTGTACTTCATATTGTGAAGCTGTGACCTGTATGTATAACTGCTGGCTGATGCATCTGTTCTGTATTTGTTGTTATCAGCACCTATTTAGCTGAATGAAAACATAATCATAAGCAGTACCTTCTATAGCTAGTATAAGAATTACATCATATAAGATAGTAAACATAGCTGATGATAGCAATGTTTAAAGGTCTTCTGGTTAAGAAAATGTCAAGGTCATAAGGAACAATAAATTAAAAATTAGATAGGAATCTTCTGTAAAGGTGTTTGGGATTCTGAGAAACTTTAAAGATCTGAATTAAAGGAAAGAAGTCAAATTTGGTGGAGAGGGAATCAGTTCAAAACAAATGAAATCTGGTATTTACTAAATTCTAAATATTTACTACTTCCATTTCAAACAGGTTGTAAAAACATGTAACTGCAATTCCTAAAAAAATGTTGCTTGGAAATATAAAATAAAATTTATGTGTAGAATGACATTTGAAAAGGTAAAAGTAAAATTACAGCATAGAAATGTGTGCCAGATTTGATCTTCTAATGAAAAAAAGTGGAGGACAGTGGTGGGAAGATAGGAATAGGCAGGGATTTGCTAAATGATATTTTGTAGTCCAAAAAACGTTGGTCAGAATTTCCCAAACAGCTTAACTGTGGGCATAAACTTGGCTTACACAGAGAAATAGAATTCTAGTGAAACTATTGGCCAGTCAACTACTGACCAGAATATTCAGCAGAAATGGTGCTTATTACTGCTAATTAACTGCCTATAAAGAAAATTTAGCTTTTGCTAAGTTGCTCATTTTTTCAGATCTTCTTTTCTCATTTTTCTGCTCTCTTTGCTTTGCTTTTCCTCATCTACTTTTCCTTTTCCTCCTGAACTTTTCCTCACATCTTCTTGGAAAGGACAAAAGAGACTGATAGAAATGATCTGGAAGAAAGGGCAGGAGCAACACCGCAGATTAAGCAATGCTGACATTTTTACTGTGGCCTTTAATGACATCGTTAACTAAACTGTCTTGGCTACCCTTCATTCCATGTTCCTGGGACTTGAAAGATTCAAAGAAACTTGAGTGAAATCTATGTGAAATTAAAGAGCTGGTTATTGCTACTGTCATTTCTTCATTTTTTCCGTTGCCTCTTAAATGCCAAGTATGTATTTCTGCTTTAATGCAATATTGATTTTGAACTTTGTGAAAATTTCCATATTCATTTAATACTAAATAGAAAATATTTTTATTTAGTAGTTATGTGAATATAGCTTATGACATTATTTTGTAGATGTTACCAACTCCAGCTAAATTTCATTACATCTTTAATTTACGAGACCTCAGTCGTATTTGGCAAGGAATACTTACAGTTACTTCTGAAGTCTGCCAGAGCATCAGTGTTTTGGTAGCCTTGTTCCAGCATGAATGCAGACGTGTTATTGCAGACAGGTTCATCAGCCAAAGCGATAAAGACTGGTTTGAAGATATGATGGAAAAGGTAAGCAAATAATGTTCCAGTATTTGCCACAGAAAGAGGTCAATGAAATGTTTAATTACTAAAGCGATCCTTAACATGTTGTTGTAGATTGCTTATGCAGAACATGGTCTAAATCTATTTGAAGATAAATCCACAGAATTATACTTTGTGGATTTTTTGCGTGATGTCCCAGAAGCTACTGGAGATGAACCTGATGATGCTGAGTTGAATGCTCCTAAAATTTACGAGCCTATCCCATCTTTGGATTTTTTGGCTGAAAGACTACAGATGTTCATGCAACAGTACAATGAAACCATCAGAGGATCAAAGATGGATTTAGTATTTTTCAAGGTATTAGTGCCTGTAATTATATTAATACAGAAATTGCTGGGTCTTTTGCACTTACCGATACGTGGATTTTGTATGTTTTTATCAAATTATTTTGGAGATAGCTGAGAATGGCTAGCCCTGTATCCAATGAGCCTTACAAGTAAACTCTATAAAGCTATGCTGCTGCTGTTTCCTGGCTGCCTTCGCTCTCACAGATTATTCTTTGCAGTTCCCCATTTTTTCTTTCTCCTGCTTTGCATAATGCAAAACACAACTTATTTGTTTCTACAGTGCACATTGTGCATGTCATCTTGCATCTCTGAAAGTTACCTCCTTTTCAAAGGTCTCTTGATGCAGGATACTTTCTTCAGCTTTAAACTGGATAGTTTGGTAGATTTTTAGGGCATTTCAGATCAATTCTTGCTCTAAGATAAATACAGCAGTGGAATAAGAAATGTTTATAGTGTAGTTGTATTTTACTTTTGGCAGCCTGTTTAGAGAGCCTGTAAATAGCTCAATTAAAAGGTTGGGGTAGGGTGTTAATCCACATCCTTTCTACTTTTCCTTCTGTCCCCTAAGGGACATGTCCTCAGCTCTCAGGCACTGCGTATGACCTTGCTTCATATGAGCTTGATACAAGGACATTTCTCTTGGGCTAGCCCTGCTGCCCACTGAAGTCGGGGGGAAATCTTATGTTGGTTTTTATGAAAGTACAGGACTCTTTGGCATAGGCTCCAGAGAAGTCGTCTAGCTGTTGAGAGGCATTTGCTTGGTGATGTGCTTCTAGTTGAATTTACATTATATTATATTTACATCTTTTCATCCCTTTTTCTCTCAATACACAGGATGCAATCATCCATTTGATTAAAATATCACGGATTATTCGTACTCCACAAGGAAATGCATTGTTGGTGGGTGTGGGTGGATCTGGAAAACAGAGTCTGACCAGACTAGCATCATATATTGCTGGATATGAGAGCTTTCAGATTACTTTAACAAGGTAACACAATGCAGTATACATAGACATTTGCTGCTTAATTTGCCATAGAAATGAACATCTCACAGTCAACTTAAAGAAATGAAAACTCATCAAACATTTTATCTCTCATTGTAAACTACATTTTCAATCAAAAGCAGCTGTGCAAATGCATGGTCTGTAGATGACAGATCCTGGGTCTTCATTTTTCTGCCTTTATGCTGTTGTGACAAGAAATCAGTCTTTTCTTCAGCATTTGAGTCTGCAATGCACCCTTGTGATATCCCACTGAAATACCATTTTGCACTAAAGATAACATGGAATGATCTGCTGATGTATTCTGCATAGTGGGCAAATGCTGATGGCCAGGGGAAATAGTAACTTTTTCTATAGATGCTTATGTACCCAGACTGTATTATTGCAACTGCTATCAATGACTTAACAGTACATAGTGCTAGAATTTAGTAATTTGTAGAAATTTGAAGTGACGGGGAGTAACTACTGCCTTCCATCTGTAAGAGCTGAGGTCTGGCAGCGTGTATTTCACTCTGCAAACTACTCAACACACTGAGAAATCTTCCTTAGAGAGATGCATCAGGTCTTTGAACAAAGTTATGAGGTTTCTGATGGAAGGAAAGAGAAAGAAAGACATATCAAAGCCTCTTCCTGTGCCCATAAGTAGAAGGAAGGAACAGTGGGAACAAAAAAAGGAGGAAAAGAAAAAAGTGTAGAATCACAGAATAGAGTCCCTAGACTTGCCAGATTCAAAATGCATTAATAAGGCAAATAAATATTTCAGTCACTTAGGAAAGGTTCATTTGCTGAAGCTAACTGGAGGTGGGCTAAAAGCAGGTGGGTGAAAGTGTGTATTTACAAAGCAGATAGATAGTCATCTTTTGTAACTTGTCACAGGAGGCTGTGAAGGAAGATGGTATCAGCAGATTCATAAATCATAGAATCAGAATGGTTTGTGTTGGAAGGGATCTCAACGATCATCTAGTTCCAACCCCTGTGCCATGGGCAGGGACACCCTCCACTAGACCAGGTTGCCCAAAGCCCCATCCAACCTGGCCTTGAACACTTCCAGGGAGGGGGCAGCCACAGCTTCTCTGGGCAACCTGTTCCAGTGCCTCCCCACCCTCATAGTGAAGAATGGATACTGAGAGGAGAAGATGGACATACCTTCTAATATTCCTATACAATGACTATGAATATGGAGGGGGGAAGAAAGAAATGAGCAGTGAAGAGTGGATAGTGGCTCATGTTTTCTCTCTAAGTACCATTTCCCATTGCTGGTGTTAAGAGTATTGAGCTAGATGGCCTGCTATTCTGGTTGGATAGTAGTCGGTTGAACTCAATGATCTTAAGGGTCTTTTCCAGCCTAAATGTTTCTATGATTCTATGATTCTGACTCAGTAGAGAAATTCTTATGTTCTTGATGGAATACCACAAATCGCTGTAGTGACTGTAGCTGACACGTGCAAACTGATTGTTTTACAAGTTCTGCAGTGCTTGGATTAGGCATATTTATAGAGTAGTGGTATGATGGAGCTGAAAGAGAACTGGGAGATGTTTTGTATGGCATATTTAATTTCAAAATGGAGTATTGTTTTCAAATACTAAAGAATGGGATATATTTGTATTGCAAGTATAAGAAACTGATTTCAAAGAAAAGAGGTTCTTAACGTCAGCTTTAATTGGCTAAGAACATAAAGGACAATATCTGACATTTAATTAATGTTAATTTGTTTCATTTCATATTGCATAATCTTAAATCTATAGTTGAATTTGTATGGACTTCATCTAACTCTTACTTGTATGCATAAGCTGTAAGAGGCATAATGAAAAAACCAGTCATGGTCTCTTTTGCAGCAGAGTTAATCAGCCCAAGTAATAATGTTCAAACATCATTTCTGGGGCTTGATTTCAGTTAAACCAAATAACACAATAAAAACCTCAGTCTTGGTTATTCTTGTCTCTTAATGATTTCCTTTAATCTGCTCTCAGTATCTTCCAAAGATAATCCAGCTGTATTTACGTAATGGTTACAGGTATCAGAATGTACTTGACAACTTAATCCAGCTGTACTAACCTTCAGTTCTAATAAAGAGTGTACATCCACAGACTGTAGGGAGCCAAAGCAGCATACTTACCTTAGATGAAGTATTTCTCTTACCATCGTTTTTCCTAGCATGTTATTCTATTGATTTCACCTCCTTTCCTGTGATTTATTTTACCAAGTGAATCATTCACTTTGGGAAAACGTTTAAGAAAAAAACCCTAAAAAAATAAAGCCAGGAGATAAGGTATTAATTTCTTATGTAGATTTTTTCTTGCCCTAAAGAAGCTGAGCCAGATGATAGATATTTCTTAAAATGATCTGTAATTTTTGTTCTCTCTTTCTTTAATCCTTTTCTATCCCAGAACATATGCCACCAATAACCTTTTGGATGATCTGAAAATCTTGTACCGCACTGCTGGGCAAAAAGGAAAGGGCATTGTCTTTATATTCACAGACAATGAAATCAGAGATGAATCATTTCTTGAATACATGAACAATGTTTTAGCTTCCGGTGAAGTCTCAAATCTTTTTGCACGAGACGAAATAGGTGAAATCACACAAGATCTGATACCAGCAATGAAGAAGGAATATCCAAGGCGTACTCCCACTGCTGAAAATCTTTATAATTACTTTCTTGCTCGAGTTCGTAATAACCTGCATGTCGTTCTTTGTTTGTCTCCTGTTGGGGAAAAATTCAGAACTCGTGCACTGAAATTCCCAGGTCTGATTTCAGGCTGTACCATGGACTGGTTCCAGCGCTGGCCTAAAGATGCTCTTGTAGCAGTTGCACAGCATTTTTTAGTTTCCTACCATATTGAGTGCACAGATGAAGTGAAACAGAGTGTGGTTAACACCATGGGAACATTTCAAGATATAGTAGCTGAAAAATGTGTTGAATACTTTGAACGATATAGGCGACGCACATTTGTGACTCCAAAGTCTTACCTGTCCTTCATTGAAGGCTACAAAGCTATTTACAAAGAGAAGTTTGCCAATGTTGGAAGTTTATCTGAACGCATGAGAACAGGTACTGTAAAATCTGTTTGATTTTTGTTTGTTTGTTTTTAAAAACGTGAGAAAAATCTGAGTAAAAGAATGTAAAAGTATGGATTTAAATTGTGAGTTCACTTTCATTTCGAAGCAGACTCACGTTTTCAGCTGTGTTGTGTGTGGTTACAAAATATGTGGAGGTTTTGTTTCAATGAACTTTGTGAATGTTGCAGACAGCAGATGAGTTTTGAAAATAGTACTACTTAGCAGTTAAAATACCTGAAACTCCTGCTTTGACATGTATGCATGCCAAACAACTACTGAGATCCTAGTTTTCACATTTAAACATGCTAAAAGTAAATCTGAGGGAAGGTAAGTAAATGTTCAGATTCAGTCACTCTGAAAAATCTTTTAGAGAAACAGTTATATGTCATGTAAAATTTCCAAAATATTGCACTGCACAAGGTCATACACAGTAAACAATTAAACAGTTTCCAAACCTGAATGCTGTTTGGAGGTGAATGTGAACTTAAACTGTTTCTTCTCCCACTGTTGCCAGTTACAGAACTGAGCTATGTACACATATCTCTGTAGGCAGAGGGTGGCTGTGTGCCTGGAAGGAACATATGTGCTTTTTTTTGAGGGTTAGACAGATTTACATGATGCATTTACATTTAGATGCATGCATTTATATATAAGGATTTTTATACTTACAGCTTTTCTAGGTGATTTTCTCATTGTTTGATAAAAAAATTGGAGCATTGCATTGCTCAAGAATGTTTACTTTCTTCTACCCCCATCTCATCTGGACATTCATGTAATGTTGAATTGAGAAGCTCAGCCTAGTCTCCTTGTGTCTTCACTTGCATTGCTCAGAGTGCCATGTTCCTCCTCTTTGTTTTGTACAGAGAGTACACTCTGGTACCTCTTATGATCTCATGGATTTCTGAAATTGCACACATACTTCTTAAGAGTGCCGTTCACAATACCAATGCTTTTCAATATGTGCGTTTAATATTTAGTGTCCCTCTCATATATAAGAATATAAACAAGTGATCAAGTAACAAATTCTGAAGATTCTTACCCATTAAAAAAAAAAAAAGAGAAAGAAAAAGCTTTAAATAGCAAATGGATATTACCTCTGCTTGATTTTGGTATTCAACAAATGGGATCACTCACTGGAGTTTCTAAATATGAATCTAAGTGACTTACTTTAAGTATCCAGACTGCTTCACTGAGGTTTCTCTCTCAATAGGTCTTCCTATTGCTAAAATGGAATTTGTTCAACACAGGTCTTGCAAAACTGATGGAAGCTGAGGTTTCAGTAAATCAGCTCTCCAAAGAGTTGGTGATGAAGGAGAAAGATTTGGCTGTAGCTTCAAGAAAAGCTGATGAAGTTTTATTGGAAGTAACTATGAAAGCCCAAGCTGCCGAAAAGGTGAAAATACAGGTGCAAAAGGTAAAAGACAAGGCTCAGGCCATTGTGGATGAAATTGCCATTGATAAAGCAGCAGCAGAAGAGAAACTTGAAGCTGCAAGACCTGCATTGGAAGAAGCCGAGGCAGCCCTCCAGGTCAGAATTAAAGATTCTGAACATGCATGTTGTTGATGACGGTTATTTGTAATATTATGGCTTATGCTTCTGATTGGAAAAAAACTATTGAAAGGACTAGCACTGATCTGTTCACTGATGTAGAAAAAAACCTGAAAACTGAGGCAGTGGAGAGGTAAGATGAGCAGTACCTCCTTTACTCTCAGGTAATAAAGCAGTCATTGAGTGGTACGGTCTTTAAGGACTTTCTGCAGTACTGCTTCTGGATGACCTGCAAAACTACAGCAATTGCATTACATACACAGTCCTCCCAAAAAACATCTTTCTCTACCATCAAGTGATTCCTTAAATAAATGGTTTATTTTCTTTTTTTAATTTTTCAGACAATAAAACCTTCTGACATTGCAACTGTTCGCAAACTAGGTAAACCTCCTCATTTGATAATGCGAATTATGGATTGTGTGCTACTTTTATTCCAAAGAAAAATAGACTCAGTAACACTTGATCAAGAACGCCCATGTGTGAAGCCATCGTGGACTGAGGCTCTGAAGCTAATGAATAACTCAGGATTTCTTAGCATGTTGCTTACTTTCCAGAAGGTAAGAAGTTAATAGTGGCAGTATTACTCCTAGAACTATCTTTAGACATCATTTGAAAGTGTCTTCTACCTTCAAAGATAGTTTGAAATGGATGAGGCTTTTGTGTACTTCTAGTTGTAGATACCTTTGTGACTATTTCTCTCCATTTTCATGGTTCATTATTTCAGTAATCTCTCTCCTGGGCCACTCAGTTTTGATGGCAGACGCAAATATCCCAAGCACTAGATCAAATCTTGAGAAGCTTAGTGTTATCTTTATTCAAGCAGTTCCTGCTTCTCAGTAGGAATTTACCTTAAAAGGACTCACTGTTGATTTTTCAAATGGTTCACCATCTCCAGTGCTACCAGGCCCGTTTGCATATAGGGTGCTCTAGAACTCGATCTCCAGAACTGTTTGGTGGGGAGCTAGGAGGAAATACAGAACAAAATGAGCATCCTGTCAGGAAAAATAGTGAGATATTTGGGACCTTTCAGGTCCTTTCACTAGAAACAGTTCTTTCACTAGAAAAGTAGTGAAATGCAGAATGAACTGAAAACCTTAGTATCAGCTGTAAGAAAAATAAAAGCAGGAGAGAAACTTGTCCCATTTACAACAAGATTCACTGGACTGTGAGACAAGGGAAATTTCTCTGCAGGGAAGAGAAGAAAGATGTCACAGGTAGCTGGACCAGAAAAAGAGCTAGGTTGGAATACGGAATGGTGGAATCATGGCCCAACTTTTAAATCCAGAAGACTAAGCAGGTTTTGGCAAAACTTTGGTTTTCTGCAACGTTGCAGAAAACTTGTACACTGATTTTTTAATCTGCTTCAGCTGTGCATTTTGCTGATGCCTATTCTAAGCTGCTGGAGTGGTTTTGTTGTGCAGATGAGGCTCAAAACCATGATTCTCACTATCCCCAGGAGCCATTTCTCCCAGTGAGCTGTATTGACAAGGCACCACATGGAAACTTGCACTGCCTCTGTAGACAGTCTCTTCCAGTCAATCTGGTCACTTTTCCAAGTGCTATCTTCACTAAACAGAGAGAGATGAGTTTAAAGATAATGGGGACTAATTATGCACTCCTTACTTCAAGCTTCTCTCTAATGAGGCTTCCAGTTTGGGCACTTATTAATAGTGCATGTGTTCCTGCTGGTAGTTTGCAACACATTTAACTTTACTCAGGGGGGTCAGAACAATCTCTGTGGGACTGAGTTCTTGCAGAAAGTGATACTGATGAATGTGGTGAAAAACACTGGACTGCTTCTATCCCCGATAAGGTACTTCACATGCTGTCCTCCTGCCTCATTTCTTCTTTCTAACATTGAGTATATATGAGAAGAACGCTCATAATGTCTGGAGTTCTGAGTAGACTACACTGCTTACTTGTTTGTGAGATTTTTGTTCTTTCCTAATTTTTTTTTAGGCAAGGAAGGTTCCTTGGGTTTAAAATTTATTACTTAGAAGGAAGAGCATGACATTTTTCAAGCTCTTGAACAGAGATTTAGGCCACTGCTCATTAGTCTTTCCTTCACATTTGCCAGCTTGCTAGCTCATAATTTTGAGTAGGAGAATGAAAAAGTCAAATTGTTTGTCCAGCACTATTTTACATTTTAGCAAATGCTTATGGTGAAAACATCACCATGTCTGATCTTAGGAATCATATAATGAATGTCTTTGTTATTATAGTAGCTAGGGATCAGACAAGTACAAGACAGTCCTTTCTGCTATGCAGAAAAGCAGGAAAAGGGTATATTGCTTGACAGTATGAATGGAGGATGATTTTTAGATGCATTAAAAGAAAGGCATTAATACATTGCCAAAAATGGAAGATTCTTAATGCCTCTATTGTTAAGCAACTATTGTTACCCTGTATAAGCTCTTCTACTTTCTACATTGCTTAAGGAGATGAATTCAATTTTCTTCTGACACTTACATAATTATAGATTAACTACCATCATCAAAGATCTGGCTTTTCATGTTCTCAACAGATTGTGAAGGGGAGAAAAATCTGAGATTAGAATAATGAAGTGAACAGCTGAAAGAAATCGCTTTTACAGTTAAGGAAAAGGGTTAGCTGCAGTGAAATGAAGTCAGTGCCTTGCAGTTTCACCCTTTTCCTTCCTGAAGCTGCTTGTTTGACTCCCTTAGCTGTGTTCACACTGGTCCATGTCTGATGACTTGATGATCTTGTTCAGGGAACTAGCCTAGAAGAAAACTAATCACTAGTTTGCTTAGATTTCCATCATACTAACTTCCAAAGTAGCTTACTGAGCATTGGTGTAGGTATTAAAGATGGAGCAAGAACATCTGGTTGAGGAGAGTAAAGAAGGTACAGTCCTGTGGCAGCAATAACTTAGATCAGCTTAAGTTGTCATGGAGCTATGAGTGCAAGTAAAGTCTGTAAATCTTATGGGCCAAATAGGAGTATTAAATGCAAACTCAAGTCAATCTGTTGCAATAGAAGTAGGAACTATTTTCACTTGAGTTCACAAAACCCAGCTAATCTTCTGTCCTTTATAAGAGTGAATGGCAACAGTATAGTTTTGTTCATTTTTTCTGTAAGAAGTGGTAGCACCATGGTTTTAAAAAGAAAAATGTTTCTGTGAAGCAGGCTTTATTCTAAAATCTATTTTAAAAACCAATTTTTCTTTTCCATTGACTAGGACTCAATTACAGGAGAAACTGTGGAGCTTTTAGAGCCTTATTTGGATATGGAGGATTATAATCTTGAGATTGCTAAAAAAGTTTGTGGAAATGTAGCAGGTCTTTGCTCATGGACACAAGCAATGGCTTACTTCTATGGTATTAATAAAGAAGTTCTTCCCCTTAAGGTATTTCATATTACTCTTTTTTTTTTTTTTTTTTTTTTTTGAGGGATGATTGTAGTTGAATGGAAAAAATGTCATGTTATTTTGGCTAAAAAAGATTGTGAGTTACAAGAGATTCTTGTTTCTTCACATCCAGTTGTGAAGTCAAGCACACAGAGGTTAAATACGTCCTGGCAATTTTTACCCCTTTCACAGCTACCCTGTGGTACAGTTGTTACTTGTGTGAAACACAATCAGTTTTCAATGGGAGCCTTAGTACACAGGTTCTTTGTAGAGCCTGGCTATCTGCAAGTGGGGGATACCGATACTGACTCTGCTCTCACACTTGCTGCCAGGCATTATGGTTTCAAGAAAACTTTCTCCTCAGTCCTACTGGCCTGGTGAGGAGCATACTCATTGTGGTCTTGGTAGAATCTGGGAGAGGAGAGACCATTGTTGGCGTAGAAGTATTCTTTAATGAATTTAGCTGGAATTCAGCTCTCTAAGAAAACGTTGGAGTGTCAGACTGCTACATGTGACTGTATACATGATAAAGTAAGTAGTCACCTGGCATAGAATTGTGTTGTAACATTGAACTACAGTAGAAAGGGATCAGCTACCATTGTCTGCATTCCTACAGATAAATTTTTGTCTTGGAAATGTTTCATTTATGAGCATATTGAGAAAAAGAACTTTTAATATTTCTATAGTGATTTATAATCATTGCTTCTACGGGGGATTTTATGGCTCTTTTCTGAAGAAATACCTTCAATTGGTTATGCTTCCACTCTACTTATGTTCAGTCTCCTATTGTATAAGCCACTGTATTAATGGTATATTCAAAACTCTTGGCATATTCTTTTAGTATATCTAGACAGATCTGATTCAAATTTGTTAAAAGGGTGATATTTTTGATCTGGGTAACTGATAGAGAAGACTATATTTCTGTGATATATAAGTAGCAATTCCCTTTTCAAATTCTAGGATGTTCACTAATGAAAACAGAATTTGAAATGTGGTTATTGAGAGCTATAAAAGAGAGCAAGACCTAGGGGAAATAGTGGCTTTACATGCAGATGCAGCTCTGAAAGCTGCAAAAGTGCTCTTGCAGTTTTTATTTGAAAATATATGACTTAAGTATAAATTTAATTTTGTATTCAAGTATTTACATTCTTGTCACACTGCAGCTGAAAAAACTGAGCATGCGTTTCTTGGTGAAGTGGTGCCTATTGTCAGGTATAGCAACAGTCACAAATATTTTGAAACTGAAGGTGACAGAAGGAGGAACTGTTTAAAGTATGCAGGAGATATTGCAGGAAGCACTGGAGTGATGCTAAGAAAATAATTGAAAATAAATGTACAATTAAACTGCATAAAGTACTAGCACAGGCTAAATCATTCAGTGCTAAAAGCAGGTTTACTGAATGAATTAATCAAGCTGCTTTATCCTAACTGCTGTTCTAGGAGATAACCCCCCTTCAACACCTGCAAAATCCATCTAAGATATTTTTAAATTGCATCTTAACTGAGACTCAGTGCCTCATTTATCTTAAATGTGACAACTTGTGAAAACTAATTAATAGTGATTTATATTTTAGTAAATATAGTCTGCAAAAATTAACTCATTCCTAGAAATGGATACCTACATTCTTTAGATATGTGGCCTGCAGCCTAAGGGTCATTAGTTAGAATCAAACACAGAAAGTATAACCAAATGTTGCCTGCAAATACAATGCTGTGTAGTTGCTTATCATACAGTGTTCACCATGTGTGTGCTTCTTTCTTATAAACCTTCATCATGACCGTGAGCCTCTAGCTTGTTACCTAGTAAATAAGTCTCCTGGATTAACCTGATAATTCTGAAACACCATTTGCTATTTATCCATTAGTTGAAGAATATAACAGCAGAATGAAGAAGTGAAGAAGTGCTGTGATTCTGTTAGCCTCCAATTAAAATACTGTGTACAGGGGTATAATTTCCCTTAGAGATGTCTCCAGTGGTTTTAATTAAATTCTCCTTAGGCTGTTATGATGATCAAGGGAAGTTTGTCTACAGTTTATAAATTCTGTTTGATATTGAGGATTCTCCCTGTCAAACTCAGTTTTAAATATGAGACTTTATTGCCTTTTCTGCTTTCACTTGTCTCCATGCTGAACTAAAAACCACAGCAGGCACTAAGAGGAAATCTTGCACCTGAGGAAGAGGTAACAGCCAAGGAGTGTCAAAATGTGATGGTCATCCATTTAAATAAGTGTGTCCTTGTCAAGGTGATGCTCACTGGGCAGGAAAACAAGCATTCAAGTCTGAATTCAAGGCCCACAATGACTTTGGAAGGAAAGCATATACTCTGGGGGGGGTGAAGGGGAGAATTAGATCACCTAACAAAACAGATTGAAGTCAGGACATGTAACTGAATGGAAAAAATGCAGAATCTTTCAGTAGCTAGTAGAGGCTGTGAAAAGCAGATAAGAGGCATGATTTCTGTGCCTTTCAAAGGTTGTTTTAATACCAAAGAATGGTCAGAGATAGCAAAGAAATTGAGGCCAAGATTTTATTAATGTCACTCTGCATGGATCTGTTTGCATGTGTACATATGAATATATGTATACATATGTATAAATTTTTTTAGATTGGTGAAGTGAAAACATTGGTTTTGGAATGTCTGCAAAACCCATGTATGTGTTTGCCTCTCTCATAATGTTGCCCTAAATAATGATGAATCCAAACTTACTGTGATATTGAGGCTCTGAAAAGTTGATACAAAACAATGAAGTGTCTATATGAAAAATCTGCAGCGATCCGGGACAGGAGCAGCTTGAGACTGCATTGCCATGAAGAGCTGTCAGTCAGATGCCATGTGCCCAGGACAGGACTGAAGCAAAAGGCAAAAGTGGTCACCCAGCACATCAACAGAGGCTCATGAGCAAAGTGACAGTGACCAAGTGCAAGAAGCCTTCTGGCCTGGTCCAGCAGTAGTGAGTGCTCAATGGACTGTAAGAACAGTGCACTTGGAAAGCTAGAATTCCCAAAACAAGAGAGATGCTAGGAAAATTCCAAATCTTCCTTGCCTGCGGTCAGCTCTAAAGTTCTAGCTGCGTTATTTCTTAAAGGTTCTCCTATTTCTTGTAACATTTTCTGAATTTACTGAGCAACAGCTGCTCTTCAGAGTGCTCTGAGGTTGGTCTGAGCATTCAATTCAAGAGTGGGGATAGCATTAAATGGTGTGAGGTTTTTTTATTGGAGAAGGCATTTTTATTTAAATACCTTCTTGGATCAGGGCCAGATATACTCGGTGCTTTGCAAAATTGAGTTTGCAATGAATCTATGAGAAACTTATGGCTATGTCAATACTAATAAATTAAACAGGACCAGGGAATTTTTCTAGACACTGGAAAGTGATCATCTACACTATTAAGTTGTTAGAATGATCCCTAGTGTGAATTTGGTCTTGGCTAAGCAGCATTTTCTCAGCAATCTCTGGGCACCTTTAAGGAACTAGCTTGGTCCAAGCACCATTTCCACGAAGCTGTTGGCATGCAGCTGTACTGTTTTAGAGGCTGGGAGAGCCTAATGTGAGCTGTTTTACACTAGTTAACCTCAGTGCCAGAGAAAGGTCCTGGGCATGTTTAATTTAACAGTATAGTTGTGGACTGTAATTACATGTTTATTCGTCCTGGTTTTACGTTGAATGCAAAAAAGTTTAAAAGGGGCAGGATCATCTCACCACCTGCTATGAAGTCCTCTCTGATGGCATCTCGGAAGAAGGTAAAATAGCTTAACAATTTAGTCTGTGGCCCTTGTTGGCACAGGTACTGTCTCCATACTTGCCCCATGCAGACAGATGCAGAGCGCAGGTAGAGGCACTGGCTGGAGCAGATGTCAAGGGGATTGTCTGTGTGGTTCCCCACAATGCCAATGGCAAGAAAAGGCTGAAGCTGCTGCTGTCACGCACGCCTAGGCATGTTCTAGCATAGCCCCCCCTCTCCGGGAGCACAGATAAGAGTGTGGATCTCATGTCTCGAATCCTCGTGATTCATTCGCATAAAATCCATTTATTCAGGCTTTCACACTGCATCCAACTGGAACAAATTGTGAATCTTTGCTTGCTGCGTGACTCAGAGGGATGAAATGAAGGGTGTAAAGCTTGTTCACATAGCAATGCCACTAAAATTAGAAAGGCCACTGTGGTTCTCTGTGGTTGGGAGATACATTTCCTTCCCACCTGTAATTGGCTGGAAATCTTTGTATGAACCTGCTTGTGACTGTAATAGCCTTCTTGTGCCGAAGATTCTCCTTGGCAGCAGGACTTGCCTCCTGATCTCATGGCAAAGGTCTGCGCAGGAAGCTGCCAGGCAACCTGCCAGTGATGTTAATACAAAAGCAGTGCCTGTACCGATGTAATTTTGAAAAATGGAGTTGGAAAGAAAGACAGGAAAAGAGCAAATAGTGATCATTTCATAGGGTAATGTGAAACAAGTAGTCTTTCTGCCTTTGGGAATCACATCAGTTGGTCATCCTAGTATGTTAGCAGTCATTCTTATGCATCCAACCATTATTCATCACATATGATTAAGCAGCCTATGAATCAAACTAATACCAAAATGTATTACTACTTTATTATGATTACCCTAAAGTTGACTGAAAATTTTTTTTAAATTGTCTGTGACATAATTTCTTATTATAAGTTGTCTTCTAGAGATCCTGTAAAGTCTTGTGTAAATAATTTTGGATTTTTTTTTTCATGTCAGAATACAATATATTTTTTCTTTGTACTCGTCTGAAATATTGTTTGTTGTCCCTACATCTTCAAAGCTGGTAGCCTTTTAAGAGCTTTTAAAAACTGGGAAGTCTGTTTTATCAGTCTTTTTCACCTTTCTGGGTGCACGGAGATCTGTTTTTCATATTTACAAGGCATCATTGTTCATATGTATTGGGAATTCACATGGTCATTCTTTTCCATTGAGGTTCACATCCTGCAGTGATAAATGTTGAGGTGAAATATGAATCCACACAGTCAGGTGTTCTCTGTTGTTCCAGCTGTTCTGCCTAGGCTGTTCTTCCCAACTCTCCAAGGATCTTGTTCCCTGGTTAACCTCACTATTTTTCAGTTGGGGGTGAAACAATATGTCATAACTTTGGTTTCCTTCCAGTTTTAGCCCTCGCAGAGCTTAAGGATAAGAGGATGCTCTGCACTGGGGAAGGGGGAGCGAGGGTGAGGTAGGACAGAGAGGGTTGGTGCAGGGCTCTTTCTGCATCTCAGTAAGAAAGGCCCAACAACAGATGGCTTACTGAGGTAACTGGTTTAATAAGACAGAATAATAAAAGGAGTTTATAATAGCTTGAATAATCAAAAGAGAGACTTTTCTCTCCATGGACAGGATCTGCTCTGTGCAGCATGCCATAGGAAAATTTATCCAGGCTTTGTCTGAGGCTGCATGAATGTGGGGTGCCCAGCATCTGAAGGGATGTAAGATTTACTCACTATCTATTTTTCTCTTATTATTATGGATCTTTTAAAAACAGTTATCTTATTAAGCCATTTGTTGTCGGACCTTTCTTGTTAAGATCCAGAAAGAGCCCTGCACTGTCTCTCTTTCTCACCTCACCCTCCTCACCTCTCCTGTATGCAGGACACAGTAACACTATGTCACCTATTCAAAACTCCTTTACTGTTTAAACTTTTCCTGATAGTCCAAGATTCACTAAAAAATAATGGCAATGGTTCTGAAGTCTGTTTAGCTGGGTCTTAAGAAGACTTACTGAGTTAACAGTGTTTATCTCTAGGAGAAGCTGTTTAATGTGCTCTTTGATAAACAGTGTAGTAAAAATATTTCAGCATTCTTACATGATGGAAATCTTATGAGCAGCCATTTCACTGGCTAATCTCCATTATAAAATATTTGTTTATCTCCAGGATCTGTCAACAGACACAGCGGCTACAGTAAATGAATTTTTTGCTGACAGTGCTATTCTCTAGATGTGTAATTTGTAAAGCAGTACTACTTTGTTGATTAGGACATATATGCTTCTCTAATTCCCTACTCACAGACCTATCTTTTGAAATCCACCAGACTTCATGTTACATTTTTTATCATGCCTAGATCTCAAAATATGATCTTTGTATCTCTCTTTTTTTTCCCCCTATGCAAAGCAAGAAGAATTTGCTGATTTTAGCATATTTTGATAAGAAATGAATCTGTATTTTTAGTCAAGATCTAATGTAAAAACCGAACCCATGGTTATACTGTTTACTAAGAGTCATCCCAGAGATTCCTTGTACTTTTACTCTTCTAGTGTGATATGTGAGTGTCAAGTTTCCTACTTGTAGTAAGACAGTTTTTACAGATTCTTGGTTTCCATCTTCATAACTCCTATAGCAGAAAAAATAGAAATGATACATGATATTTAAACAAGTCTTTTAAATATTCAGAGTAAATGGAAGCAACCTTTATCTGTAAGTGTGAATTTCATAAGAACTTTGTCAGTCTCTAATCCTTTGCAAACATATATGTGGAAACACATTCTGAATTCACAGAATACTTTTTTTTCCCCCCTGTTAGGAATATACAAGTTAAGAGGCCATATTTAAATGACTGGCAACTCATCATTCAAATTTATATAGAGATGTGAGAAAAGTTTATAGAGTTTTAGTTTCCAGAGGAACAAAAAAATGTGTTTGCTATATTTTGATTGTAGAAGTAATTGATGGGGAAAGAGAGGAGAAAAGTAGTTTCCATTATCATTATTGTTTTATAATCCATGAGGACAATCTTAATTTTCTTTTGCACTGAGTATATATTACAGAAAAATTTGAGTGGCCTCATATATCTACTATACAGCTATTTCAAGTGTATTGTGATTTCAAGTCATGGATCATTGTGTGATCAATAGATCATTCTGAAGATATTATTAAAGCATTTGAAGATTGCATTGAATACTTTTAATGTTATGCCTGTGTTCCCATTGTAGATTGAAAAGTAAAAAAGGAAAAAACCTGCTGTCCTCTTCAATATGTATTATTTTTAAAAGTACCCAATGCAGTACAATACGCGCCACTAAATGAATGTCATTTGTTCTTGCCAAATAACAGGTATTAACTACTCTTTACTTTTAAATGTTTGTAGGCAAATTTAGCCTTGCAAGAAGGAAGACTTGCAGCTGCCCAAACAGAATTGAATAATGCACAAATTCAGCTGGATGAGAAACAAATGGAACTGGATCAAGTACAAGCCATGTATGATACTGCTATGAAAGAGAAGCAGGCCTTACTTGATGATGCTGAGGCATGCAGAAGGAAGATGAACAATGCTACAGCTTTGATTGAAGGATTAGGTGGAGAAAAGGTACAAGCACATACGAGTAGGTTTCCAGCACAGAGTAGGTGCTCAGTTTTGAGAATACTCTGTAATGATCATTAGTAGTGCTCAAGAAATTCAAGGCACGGTGACATCTTGATATCATATGACGCTTTATTTTAGTCATATGTATGTTTTTTGCTTGAAGTTAATGTATCTAACACAGTAAAACAATTTCTTGTGTTAACTTAATTCTTCTGTATGAAGATTTATGTCATGTCATATGGCTCGTATTGGGATAAAGTTCAGATTTAAAGCCAAGGAGCCAAATTCCTTTTAGCTTTAGTAAGAAGAGGAATTAGGCTTAACCTAAATAATTGGCCTAAAATATTTATAAGAAGGATTACTCTCTTTTTCTCACCAAGTGTACAAGAATAGGAATTTGAAGCTTGACTAATTTCCTGAAATATATTTGAAGTTCAGATTTCTACTGGAACCTTTTACAGAATTATGGGCTAATTGTTATCCTCTGCACTGAGCTTGATATTTACCTTTCCTATGCAGCTTCAGCCTGCAGCGTTATCCTCTGCAATGAGCTTGAAATTTACCTTTCCTATGCAGCTTCAGCCTGCAGGTTTCCAGAGGAAGCAGGATAGTCTTTTTTTCTCATTATTTGCTTTGATAATTCCTTGGTTGATTTCACACAGAGTCAAAACTGCTGAAAGCTTTGACTTCAATCATTGTGTCTTGTGCAGCCAGGACTTCAGCATTTGTTTGCATAGCTATACTTCAAAATACATCAGTAAAAAATGTTAGATGGTTTATCATATTTTTCAGTGAATTTCCAAATTTAAGAGCAATACCAAAATAGGAAATTGCAGTGCCTTATTGTGGGTTTTCTGAAGCCTTGTGTTATGAGGTCTCGTAAGAGCTGTTATTTCATTCTACTTTTGAAAATTCAGACAAAAAATTAAAAGACTACATGGCACTTGGAGCCTTGGGAAAACTCACACTGGGTTAAATGTGTATTTTCTAAATTTAGAACATGTAGGTCCTGACCAAGATTGCATTCAGAGTGATTGGAAGGAAACAGAAATCTGGAGAGAAAGGAATAAATAAAACTCAAAACTAATACTCCAAAAATCACAGAATCATGGAATAATTGAAATTGGAAGTGACCTCTGGAGATCATCTAACCCACCTGCACACACACTCAAAGCAAGGTCAAATAGAGCTGATTGCTCAATGCATTTTCCAGTTGGGTTTTGAATAGCTCCAAAGATGGAGACTATTCAACCTCTCTTGGCAACCTATTCCAGTCCTTGACCATTCTCACTGTAAAAAAGTGGTTTTGTATGTTTAATGGGAATTTCTTGTATTTCTGAAAAGAGCCTGGCACCATCATCTTTACACCCTTCTGTCAGGTATTTGTACGTATTGATTAAATTCCACCTGAGCTGTCTGTTCGCAAGGCTAAACAATCTCAATTCTCTCAGCCAAGGCTGCCCCTGACCTTTACGTCCCTGACCAGTTATTTCTTGTTTGCAAGTCTGAGATTCAGGAAACCTCCTTCCCTCATTAGATCCTCAGTTACCTGTGCTAAGAATTTTTTGTCAGTGCACTCCTGGATTGTTTGTGTCTTGCTGTGTTGTTCCTCCAGCAGATATCAGAGTGGTTAAAGTTCCCTGTGTAGACCAGGGCCTGTGAATGCACGATTTCTTCCCATTGTCTGAAAAAGACTTCATCTACTTCTTCCTGATCACATTGTCTGTAACAGACACACACAGCATCACCCGTTTTGGTCTGCCCTCTAATCCTAACCAATAAGCTCCCAAGTGGCTCATTGTCTACTCTAGAGTCTCAGATGCAGACCTCCGTGCATTCCAGCCTGCATACACCTGTTGCAGCAATCCAGTTGTAGAAGCCTTACCACCATGTCTCTATGATCCCCATGAGATCATGACTCTGCAACCACATGCAGACTTCTAATTCCTCATTTGTTCTCCATGCCATGCACATTAGTGTACAAGCACTTCAGAGAGGTGCCCAGCTATGCTAATTTCCCAGTGTAGATTTAGATTAGATGTAAGTAAGAAATTCTTCACTATGAGGATAGTGAGGCACTGGAAGAGGTTGCCCAGAGAAGTTGTGGATGCCCCCTCCCTGGAAGTGTTCCAGGCCAGGTTGGATGGGGCTTTGGGCAACGTGGTCTAGTGGAGGGTGTCCCTGCCCATGGCAGGGGGGTTGGAACTAGACGGTCTTTAAGGTCCCTTCCAAGCAAACGATTCTATGATTCTATGATTCTATTCTATGAAACAGTATGAAAACTATCCTCATCATTCTGTCTGGTAGGCAATTCTTTGGTTATGTGGATATGCTTGGAGTGGTCCTCCATTAGCCCTGTTTTATTGATTACAAGATCCCTACTGTTTATATCACTCCACATATTTTGTCTGCCAACCTGGTCCTCCACCTCCTCACATGATTGTTGGTCATCCTCTGCCTCCCACTTTGTTCCTCCTTTAAAGCACTTCTTACCAGTTTAGCCAGCTTGTTGGCAAAGATGTTTTTTCTCCACTTGATCAGGTGGTTGCCATCTCTTCCAAGCAAACTTCTACTTCTGAAAAGAATGATTTAAAGCCAAAAATACTCCTGGTTCAAAGAACAATTATTTACCAGAAAAAGATAAATTCTTAACTTAGATCTTCATGTTAGTTATGTTAGTTTTGTGCCAGCCTAATCTAACTTCTTTATAATATTTTACACACAGCTTCGTTGGACAACAAGCAGCAAAAACTTTCAAAATCAAATTATTAATTTAGTGGGGAATGTTCTTCTGGCCACTGGATTTCTCTCTTACTCTGGACCTTTCAATCAAGAGTACAGGAACTTGCTGCTCCAATTGTGGAAGAAAGAGATGGACAACAGCAAGATTCCTTATAGTAATGTAAGTGTTCATGCTCTATCCTGACCTTACTTTTGCCTTGCAGAGAATAATGTTCAGAGCATTCCATTCCAAAAAAATGTATGATCGGAAAAGGCTGTCCCATTCCATTAAATTTTTAATAAATAAAAAATCTGAACAGTTGACAACTGACCTTCTAAAAACCTGTGAATGCAGGTTAAGATCCTCTTTATACTGTCATGCATTGCAAGATTGGTATATAGGCCATTGCTCTGGAAAATCTGAGAGAGACATGCTGTCTGAGGTCAGCTGCTCTGGGAGGAAGTTGCATAATATGGGAAACGAAGTAAAATTTACCAGCTTAAAATAGATTTACCTTATCCTAAGGGGTTCCATCAGGTAGTCACAGTTTCCCCCCCTAAATCGGTGGTTTTTTGCAAATGCCATGTTGTGTCCATAATTTCAGTCATAAAGTCAAGCAAATTGGCTGCATCGAGCATTTACTGTAAGTGAAAACTATGTATATTGAAGAAAACACGGGTTGTAACTATCATCTCCCTCAACATTTTAAGTTATCCCCTTACAATGAATAACTTGTGAATATGTGGTTGAGAATGCCACCCCACAACTGGTATTGCTGTGTCTTTGAAGCAGCAGCTCCCAAGTTAAGCCCAGAGGATGGTAAAGAGGTGGGGAGGTTGGTCTGTGGCTTCTGGGTTGGAGGGGAGTTATGCCCCAACCAACTTCCAGGGACGCAGGAGGATTTACCCTGTTTCCACTTTTACCACCTACAGTCTCATGTGCTGCCACTAAAAATCTGCTGTCTCTCTAGATATCCACTTTTCACTCTGAACTGTAAATCTAGAATGTAAAGGGTAAATTTGAATGAAAGGCTTTTCATATATTTTGTATTTCTGACATAATACATCATAAATTCTTTAACCTACTGTTCTTAATATATTAAATTTTGAACACAACAAACTAATCTAGGAATAAAAAAATCTATTATTTTCATTTAGGATTACTTAAGTACAACATTTTAATCATCTAGAATTGCTAGAAAATATCTGTAAAATGGAACTAAACAGTTTTTACTTTTTAAAGCTTCACAGTTTTATACTTAGTGTAGCTTGATTAATTCTTGATTGACATAAAAATACTCTTACACTCAATTATAGATAAGACCATTGCGCATTTTGAACCAGGAAATATCACCTCTCCACCTTCATGTATTATCAATTAATACCCTCCTGTCATATCCTCTGCTGCTTACCCACACCATTTAATTTAGTTTAATTTGAAGTGTCTTGTTGAAATGATTAAGCTAAACAAAACCTGGATTTTGTAAAGGTTGGTTTACACCACTCGAGCTCATTCCAGTCAAAGCTCTCAAATCCATGTACATTTGTCACCAGTGACGCTGTTCTCAGTGAGTCTGACGTTACAGCTTCTCCTCAACTGGCCTAAGTCTGTGCGTACAGAGGTGGCCTGAAATGCAGTAGAGCTACGGTCCCATCATGTAGCTTCAGTTCCATGCCACATCGTATGCTACCTTTATTAAAGTGAGCAACTTGCATGCTGGGACTATGATACAGGGCAGGTTCCTTTACATGAATCTTGTTCTTTCCTTTTACCACTATCTGCCTCAGGAGTGCTGGACCTGGGAGCTGTTCTGCTGCATAGGCTTTGCTCATGGCCAGCAGCAGCCTTCTTCCTATTCCCTGACTTTTAGGAGGTCTGTCTAATATTCTTCCTTGCACCTGGAAGACACATTCATGCTGAAGGCAGAATTTAGGCCGTAATAATCAATACTGTCTTTCTGAGTAATCTGTCCATGTTGCCTTCCACTTGGTTTTGTGAATACCTGCGTACGTTTTCTCCAGCAGTAAAGGTTGGAGAAATAGTTCAGGGAGTCTTTCTCACTCTCAGTACAGGAGTGGAGGCATTAACCCCAAATGGCTCCTGTCCTCAGCTGTCAAAGTTGGGAGCAAGTGAGCAACCTGTGTACAGCTGTGGTTGTACCACTGTGAAACAGCTGAAGGTAGATTAGTATCCCTGCTGCATCTTCTTTTCAGGTTCTTGGGGGATTTGACATGTAAAACCTGTATTAGGGAGACCTCTTTGCCGTGAGAGGTTTGTCATGCTGTTCATCTCATAGAAATTGTGAATATTTTTTTTTTTAACGTTAGGTGGTTCATAATGCTTCTCTTAACAGTGATTAACCTTGACCCGACAGAGTGAACCTCACAGCCCAGCCCAATTTATGCTATGCCTTACATGATGAATGATTCTGACTTGCCCAGCACAGCTCTTTGAAAGCTCCTGATCATAAGTAATATGAAAGGCCAAGATGGATTTATTAATAAAGTACCAGCAGCAGTGCAGTCTCAGGCAAGATTCTTTACCAGTGTGGTATGGGAGTTATCCTACATACATTCATCCCAGGGAGGCTCTTTCTCAAATTCAGTGTACAAATGTTCTTAAAAGCTACTTACCTTGGGGAATATTTGTCAAGATTCTTACCATTTAAGGGTAAGAACTTGCATGTATAATGTCCTTAGAAAGCAAGACATAAAGTACTAAAATTCTGCCTCTATGAAGATGTTCTGACTACATTACTACTCAGCTGCATCCTTCAAAATTTGAGGAATACTTATTGATTGTTTCTGTGTTGCTTTTTATTCTTTTTTTTTTTCATATAGACAGGTTAGACACAGAATGCCATAATTAATGAGTTTCAATCCATAAGCATCATTCTGTTTAGACATTAGTTGCCATTAAAGACAGGATTATGATTTCAATGATAGTGTATGGTAAAGAGTTTTAATTTTTTCCATTGAATTAATCACAAAAGACAGCATATGGGCTTCTCTTGATACTTCACACCACAGGAAAGAAAGCAGCTTTGCAGTTCAAGCAAATGGGTTGACATCTGCCTTACTTTGTCAGAGACTAACTGGCTGTGGGTGTATGAGTCATTTAGGCATAACAATTTAAAGAGAGCTGTTTAAAATTAGCTATCTATCAGTGTAGTTAGGCACTTAAATTAGCTAAGTTTCAGAGTTGCAGAGTGACTGATACTTCCTGTTGCAGTAAGAAAAAAGTCAAAGCAGTTTAGACCCCACTCATCTGGCTAAGGAGCTAAATATGGTTTTAAGTTCCAATTGCTGAAAATTTTGGCTCTTGAACACTTTACTGTCTTTTTCACAAATGGAAATTGGATTCTTAAAGTATCTCTGTCTTCTGAGAATGGTTTGTGTTGCTTCATTCAGATTCTTCAATAATCAGTGTAGTAAAAAAATCAAAGGAGTGAAAAAGCTTTTCAGACTTGCAATCACTGGTATCACTAAGTCTCATGATTATATCAGAAGTCTCACAGTATTTGAAATTTTGCTTTAGGCTTCAGATGCTGAATTGTGTGATTTTTGCAGGAGTTGCAGGCTTTTTTTTTTTTTTTTTAAACCATGTTGTTTGTAGAGAAAGCTTACAAATAGGAATTCTTGAGTGAAAAAAGTAAGGACCAAATAAAAAACCCTTCAGTTGTATTCTTTTTTCAACTCACATCATCATTAAGCTACTTTTCTAATTTGGAGAATTTGATTTGTGATTTTAAGCACTGTTTCCTTCACATACACATTCTTGAGAGGCCAGTCACTGTTCATAGTGAATAAAATAAAGCAGGTTAGTCAATGTGTGCAAATCAAACTTTAGGACAATATATGAGCTGGGAAGAGTTCTGACCATAGCAATAATAACTTTCCATGATAGTTCATGGTAATTGATCCATAGCACATCTTGTCTTTCTCCTCTGAGTCTCCCACAAGCCATCCTATGAGGACAGGCTGAGAGAGTTGGGGTTGTTCAGCCTGGAGAAAAGAAGGCTCCGGGGAGATCTAATTGCGGCTTATCAGTATCTAAAGGGGACCTACAGGAAAGATGGTGAGGGACTGTTTATCAGGGAGTGTAGTGACAGGACAAGGGGTAATGGGTTCAAGCTGAAGGAGGGTCGATTTAGATTAGATGTTAGAAAGAAATTCTTTACTGTTAGAGTGGTGAGGCACTGGAACAGGTTGCCCAGAGAGGTTGTGGATGCCCCATCCCTGGAAGTGTTTAAGACCAGGTTGGATGAGGCTTTGGGTAACATGGTCTAGTGGAGGGTGTTCCTGCCCATGGCAGCAGGGGGGTTTGGAACTAGATGATCTTTAAGGTCCCTTCCAACCCAAACTGTTCTATGATTCTATGATTCTATGATCTTGTACATACTTGGAGGGCACTTTACAGCAGGAGGAAGCTCTTGTGACTGACGATCCTTCCTCTTGAGCTGATAAGAAAGGAGTTAGCCAATAACAAAAGCAGCTTGTCATTAGATATTGAACTGGCTTCAGAGTTTCTCCGACATTCTTTGATGGACATCAAAGCCTCAATAGAATTCACTATCATTATTGCCCCACTTGTATGATTTAGGCACTGAACTTTAAAGAAAGGAAACAATAAACAGTAACTACCAAATACATTCTATCATGCGTTATGATCAGAATAAGAAGAAAAACCTTCAATCAAACATTTTAGTATAAGTCCTCCAACTGGTACTAATTTTGTAATTACATATTTTCTATTAGGATCTGAATCTTACTGGTATGCTTGTTGACAATGCCACAGTGGGTGAATGGAACCTCCAGGGTCTTCCAAATGATGACCTTTCAATTCAGAATGGCATCATTGTCACAAAAGCATCTAGATATCCTTTGCTGATTGATCCACAAGGTCAAGGAAAGAGCTGGATTAAAAATAAGGAAAAGAATAATGGACTCCAGGTAAATAGTTCATTTAATATTTTTTATGTGTGTCATTTAACATCATAGTTAGCAAAGCAAACTATTTTTTCTGTCTTCATACTTTGGCCATGTGTAAATTAAATCTGGTGTTTATGGTGTACAGTTAAAACAAAATTGATGCAAAATCTGTGACCTATCTGTGTCAGGGTGAAATAGCTTGTACTGCTTTGTTATCTCCTAGAAAGATATTTTCAAGAGCAAATTCAAATTTTGTGTTATGCCATGTATATGATGAATCTTTTAATTACTTGTCACAGAGAAAGAGAAACATAGAAGGAAGTAAATTACTTGCAGAATTAAGACCAGACAGGATCAGTCAGTTGCTGCTGCATGGCAATAACATTTTAGGGTAAGCATTTTAAGAGAAAAATAGGGAAAAGAAAAAGGGAGGAATTGGAAAAAGCTAGTGGCCTGAGGTAGTATGGAAATCTAGTGATCTTTGAGGCATATCAAACACAAAGCCCAAATTTAGGCTGCATCTTAACAATTAAATGCATGGGATAAAATTATTTATTGCTTAATTTATCCACCCTTCTCACTTTCTGTCAAGCAGTGCATCCTTTTTGGGACCTGGGTCTTCTATTTAATTCAAAATTTTCTTTTTTTTTTTTCTCCTTCTAATCAGCTTACCCTCCATGCTTTGTTACACCAATAAAGATGAGTTGTGATAAAGATCTGAACACATGATATATTTTCAGGCCAGATCAAGCATGATACTAAAGAGTTAATTATTAATAAATCAAGGCTATCCTACAACTGTAGATTATCATATGAATACCATGGTATACTATCTTCACTCAAAATGAGAGTGACGGATGAGAAAAAAGAAATTGAGAATGAAGGTAAGGATGGTGACATCCAGAGAGCTGATGACATCCTTAACCTCCTGGAGCTTGACCTAGATCTGTATTTCCTAGCACTGTTAAGAAAGGCCCAACATTCAATCCCACACCAAATCCAGTGTCTGGTAAGTTGAACATTCTCAAAAATTGGTGTAGAAACATAGCTAGAAACAGGAAGTATTGACTGAGAAGAGACAGGAAAGTAAAGTAGAACATTCACAGATCTTGGAAAAAATTGATGCCTTTATTAAAAATAGGATGAAAAGCTCTCCTAAAACATGAGTTATATTCACAGAAGAATTTAGGCATTTTGTGACTGTGTGAAATCTACTGTCTTAACAGTAAATAACATGACTTCCTCTAAATTACATCAGATCTTACTTTGACCCCCCCAAAATTGGATCAAGAAATGCCAGTGTGAGTAACCAACAGGAAACAACAGAGAGAAAGATGCATCTCATATTTCAGTCTCTTTGAGACTGGTATCTCCTACTCAGGATTTCAGAGAGCTGCCAAGCTGAGCTCAGGAACAGTGAGTCTCCTTCAGTTAGGGACCTACACTAACTCTTTCTGCCATGCTGTAGCCTTTTCCCCAATAATTTTAAAGTGTCCTCCAAGTAGCAACTTCAGTTCCCTCCTTTAATTGGCACTGAGTCTGTATTGCCCACCCTCCAGGTGGCTGCTCTTGCCATGTGTTGGCATGCAGCCTATGGAAAGGGACTGCAAACACGCAGGTGGTATTCCCTGCTCCAGTAATTGCCTAAGGATCTTATATCACATACTCACCAAAGCAGAGACTGGGAGATGTAGATTAAAATCCTGTTTCCTCTTTCTCTGCTATCCATACACTATAAGTGATGATGACATTTGACTGATGAGCCAGAGAAAAATGTCTACCAGGCTTGCCTTGTGTGAATATCCAGCCTATGAAATTTGTGAATCCTGACATGGCTCAACTACGGTACTCTCAAAACTTTGAATACACACAGTTGCGGCCTCTAAAGGCAGAGGAAGCTTTCCTGATGAAAATTCAGTCAGTTATGGGCTTTTAGACATCCTGGCTCAGATTTCACCTATATTAGAAGAATCTGAGTTCTACCCCTGTGAAGTCCAGGAAGAACAGAGTTATGTCAAGACTCTAAATACCCAAGTGTTTAGATTATGCCTTTACATCTGGGATATTGTAATTTCCTACAGTCTTGTTAGGGTTTTATTGTTGGCCAGTAAGACACTTCATCCCTCGGTTTTATGTAGGCTAAAAATGTAAGCAACATGCCGTTTTGGTGGCTGCATATATACTTACATTATAACAAAGCTAAAAGTGCAGAGTGGTGGAACATAGTATTAATTTTTAAATAATATACTGTTTTAAGGTTGTGTAACATTCCTCTAGATGTTTTAATTATACCTTTTTCAAAGAGCACAGCCTGCAAGACAACGATTTATTTTAAAAACATGCCTATCCTAGGGTTTTTTCTGGTAAAAAACCCACCCCAAACCTGTGGCTTAACAGATGCCTGGAAAGGCTATTCAATTATCATCTCAAAGGCTTGTGTTAAGTTTATTAAATTTAAATAAATGAAAAGAAGTCCATGTAATTTTTAGAAATTTTAAGACTATATATTGTGAAATGGGAACTGAACTGGAACTTCAACATCTGATGTGAGACCAGGCCTCCTATGTAACACTATAAATACTTCCCTGCCTCACATTAGTGTTCTGGGCATAAATCCATTAATATTTAAAAGGTACTGAGATACTACACTGATTAGATATATATGTAGATAAGTAAATAAATAGATAACAATAAAGAAGTGTGTTCTGTTAAGCTTAAAACAAAACTTCTATTCATTTCAGCAGAGGTGCGTGTTGGTCCCTAAAATATAATCATGTGTAGATATCCCAGGATAAGTACAATTTTTGAAAGCTGCAATAGATTTTATACTGTTTTCTGTGTGTTTGCAAATGCATGCTATATTGTGAACCAATCTTCCTAGGTTACAACTATGAACCACAAGTTCTTCAGAAATCATATAGAAGACTGCCTGTCCCTTGGCCGACCTTTGTTAATTGAAGATGTTGGAGAGGAACTTGATCCTGCTCTAGATAACATCTTGGAAAAAAATTTCATAAAATCTGGTTCAGCACACAAAGTAAGATGAATCGTAAATGTGAAATTAGAAAACAATAGGACAGATGCTGGGTATCTGGTAGTCTGGATACTGCCAAGATTCATCCCTTTGCAACGCTGAGAAAGATGAGTAGTGAACTCATGGGGTTGGATTTTTTTTACCCCTTGATCAGAAAGTTTTAAAAGTGCAAATGAATATGTAAAAAAAGATTTCATCTATTTTTCACTGGATAAAATAACTGTTTATCAGAATTCAGCTTTTGAAAATTGAATAATATGTTTTATTTTCAGGTGAAACTAGGTGATAAGGAGGTAGATCTGATGAAGGGGTTTACCCTTTATATGACAACAAAATTGGCTAATCCTGCCTATACTCCAGAAATCAGTGCAAGAACAACTGTGATTGACTTTACTGTTACTATGAAAGGGCTGGAAGATCAGCTCCTTGGCCGTGTCATCCTCACAGAAAAACAGGTATCTAGTAACTTGCAATATTTGTATAGATGGAACGTTTGTTCAATATCTGCGCCATGAGTGGATATATTCAATGTCTTGGTTGAAATCAAATGCAAGAACCAAAATGTGAATGAAAGTTTAGGGCTTTGTGTATTTGCTGAAAGACAATGTGGAGCTGGTTTTTAATTGAATGGAGGGACCTAAACATTAATTTTAAGATCTGGCCTTGGAAAGAGAAGAAAGAAAATTATTCATTAAAAATACATCACAGGCATATACATGACATACATAAAGCATCTTTATTCCTTCATATATAGTAAAGGCTCCTTGTTCAGTCAGAAACCTTTTTTATTTCTGAATTGCTTTTTAAACTTAATTTGAATTACATGAAAAAATGCTTATGAACTCGAACTACTTTTGCCAGCCAGGCTCTAGTGTGCATGGAGATATGAGATTTCTAAGGAGCCCTGAAGACTGAGTTGAATCTGTTCTTACTAAAATTTCCATTGATTATGTGTAAGCAAATATAAGGAAGAAAATCCTTTCTCAGGTGTTTTTCAGGAGTTTTATTTCATAATATCAAATCTGAGACATCATCTACAATAATTTAATTCCTAGATCATTCCTAATTCTTTTTGTGTGATATAATTTAACAGCCTAGTTATCCAAAAAATTAGGAGTCAATTCATCACAGGCATTGGGGACAAAGGTGAGTTTTTTACTGTGGCACTCATACCAATAAATACATTAATGTTATGGTCCAATTACACTAAGATGAAATATTTTCTTCCCTTCTCATTAAAGTAAAAGCACAGAAGTTGTATTTCACACCAAATTGAATGACTTATTTATTTCAAAGGGAACATTTCATAATTGTGTCTTTGTGAGAAAAGTAACAAAAATTAAGGTTTAGATTAGCAGAGCTGCTGCTTTCAGTAACTAACTCAGATAGGCTTGCTCATGTGAGAGAAGTTCCTCACCTAAGGGAAATCATTCCTCCTTCTTCGACTTCCCAAAGCATGTTCTAACAAGTGTGCTTTAGTGGTGCTGTCACTTTCTCTGGCCAACACCTTTCCACTTTGCTCAAATGAGCATTTGCTGAAGAAAGGACTGGAATCTAAGTGTCCTTCCTTCAGTCTGACAGTCACAACCAGAGGCTAGAAAGTTATTGTTATGCCCAAACTTCCTGTGAATTGTTCCACGAAAAATGGAAAAACTACAACAGCAGGTACTGAGGAAAAGTTACCCATTAGTAGGGTGGCACAAATGCTAGGATGCAAAACTTTTAATCTTTACCCCAGTAGATGTATGTTTATGTAAGCAAAATTGAACAGCATTAGTAGGAGTGGCTAGGACTATCCTGACTAACTTAGCTCTGATGGGAGACAGAGGTTTAAATCAAGATAGAAGTGAAATTTGTTTCTCATGACCTACATATAAAATGCATCTCCTTACACAGAGATACTCTCGCTCTGTGGGTTTTTTCCTGGACGAAACTATGAGAAAATTCATATTGAGTGTATGTAGCAATACCTAGACTGAATTTTGGGTCAAAAATATAGTCACTGAAAGATATTCATCCAGTGCTGTATATCAGCTGAAGAGAGCTGCAAGGATAGCTGGTGTCAGCACTACTTGCTGCACAGGGACATGGTTGCAGGTGAAAAACATTTATTAAACTTCTTCCCTTTAGCAGATATGAAGAAATCATGGTGGTTCTGTCTCTTCTGTCTCAATATGAGACAGATGTCCTGGTGTAGGCAGCCAGAGCCAATGGAGCTCTGATAAATTTTGTTCAAAGACAGAGCATGAACAGAGAATCTGAAGAACAGGTTTTCTATTACAAATAAGTTTATGATCACTGAGCTAAAGTAATAGATTAAAGGAACGAAGACATTCTTAAAGATTGCTATAGTGATCAATGGAATATATGATCAAAGAAGTGTTTATTCTTTCCAGCCTTAAAGATTGCTCCTGTAACTATATGAAAAAAAATTATTATCAGCATCTTTTTGTACTTTGATAATAAAGTTGCTGCCACTATTTGTGTTCAGAACAGCTATCTTTTATGTTACAAAAGCAGTTGTGAATACTCTTGCAAACAAAAGCCTGGCATCAGGTATATTTGCTAATTTTATGAAAGCTATTCTTTACAGGCTTACAAATAGAATGGATGAGGTGCCTGTTCTTAAACTAAGCATGTCCTTAACTAGAAGTTAAGCATGTACTTAAATGCATGTCTGAGTGTTCTGCAGAACTACTCCTTTTGTGTAATTCTAATCTTTTTTGCATTAATGGTAAAGAAAGAGGAGAAAATGCAGAAAATTTGAAGCTGAATGACTGATGCTTAAGTCATTCTCCTGTTTTGGGATACAGTTATTTGTAGCTTCCACAGAGCTATTCTATAGCCCTATAATATATTACAAACAGGTTTCCAGATAAGTAGTTTGTGAGAGTAAAGAAATTTGTCACTTCTTCTTTGAAATACAGGAGAGCCTCTCCTGTACTGCATAACTCTGTACATCTCCTTTATCTCTAACTTGGCATGTTGACAACAATGAAAATAAACTGAAGCCACACATGCGGGTAGACTGGTATTATTAACTACCCTTTTCTTACAGGAAGGTTGACTTGATTAAATAAAGGTAGCCAGCAAGGCTATCCCTGAGCTGTGTTGGAGTGTGCAGTATAGATCCCTCATTTCACTTGGCATTGTGTTGACTTGTCTCTCATTGTTCCCTTGCCATTGTCTGTCCTGTAGAAATAGCATAAAAATTCCATATGACATAGCTGATAATTGTAACATTTCCTGTTTTATAAGCAGTAGAGGAATGTATCTTGCAAAATCACAGAATCATAGAAATTAGAAATGGAAATGGTCATCCAGTCAACTTCCCTAACAACGTACAATCCATCTATACAATGCATCTTTCAGTCCTTTGTGTGATTTGATTTTAAGTACTTAACGTAATGTGGCTTTTTTCACTTGCCGTTGGAAACTAGCTTTAGTGCTTTGTGCATCTTACTATGAGGAAGCTTCTCCTGGTAATTCTGATGTGTTTTTTCTCCACAGTATGCTGCATTAATCAAATAAATGCAGTATACATATACATTTCTTTAGTATATAATATTTCTGTATTTTATAGAAAAAACAGCAAAGCCTCCAGTCTATTATGAAGTCACATGGGGTTTGTGTCATTATAAGGAATCTTTCTTTGAATTAATCTTAAATAGTCTAATGAAAATTTCTGAATACAGGAACTGGAGGCAGAAAGAGTCAAACTGATGGAAGAAGTGACATCTAACAAGAGGAAAATGCAGGAACTTGAAGATAATCTACTCTTACGTTTAACAAGTACAGAGGGTTCTTTGGTTGAAGATGAGTCTCTGATAGAAGTCCTAAGAATCACTAAAACGACAGCAGAAGAGGTGAATTTTGAATGCATTGCAGATACGTTTTGTAATAGTAATTTAAAGATTATTTGTACACAGATTTTTTTTCTGTATTTTTTTTCCATTCAGAGCCACTGTGTAACATCTGACTTCTTAACAAATCAATGGTAGAAAGCTATTATTTTGTCTTCATAAAGTGTTGCAAAATTAAACTATTACCTGGATACTGCTTTATATTCCAGGCATACTTTGCAGGTGTAAGTTTGAATCAAATCCCAATGTGCTTGGTGATTGAACACATGAAGATACAATGTCTGGGTTGAAACACTGACAGAGGGAAGCAAAGCTTGACTAAAAATACCATTGTGATCTTAATCAAGACCTTTTCTTTTTGCTTGCGCAATATAAATCACAAGTGACGTGACTTAATCTTCACAGTCTTTTCCATTAATTTTAAGGTCAGTGAAAAATTAAACATAGCAGCGGAGACAGAGGTGAAAATCAATACTGCACGTGAAGAGTATCGTCCTGTTGCTGGTCGTGGTAGCATCCTTTATTTCCTAATTGTGGAAATGAGCTTGGTTAATGTCATGTACCAAACATCGTTACGGCAGTTCCTTGGCATTTTTGACCTATCAGTGGAAAGGTCTCAGAAATCTCAGATCACAGCAAAAAGGGTAGTATATGTAATTGAGCATCTCACCTATGAAGTCTTCAAGTACACAGTTCGAGGGCTGTATGAAAACCACAGATTCCTGTTTACATTGCTTCTGGCACTGAAGATTGACTTGCAGGCCAAGAAAATTTCACACACTGAGTTTGAGACACTGATTAAAGGTAATTTCTCTAAAAATGTTCCTGTTTATGTATGTCTGTGAACTGCCAAATTCAGATTTTGCAGTGTTTGCACTAACAATATGTTGTATCTAGTGGATATAATGTTTTTTAACTGGTGAATGAAAGCATATATAGCCTAAGAAGGAATAAAGAGACAAATTTCCAAAACAAGAGCAATATAGATTATTTATTATCAAAATAATACTTAGATGAGAATATTTAACAGTTTTATATTGCAAAACAGAAAAAAAAAGTCCATTACTTTGTAAGAGACCCTCTAGATTTCTCCTGTGTGCCTCTTTTTTTGAGTTGCCACATACCTACATCTGCGAGCTTGGAGACAGTCAGCAAAATCTCTTTTGATGGCTGGTGAGCATGTGAATGAGGCATGTGAATGCAAGAGTACTCTGTACCACATTCAAGTGTCAGTATAAAAAAAGTGGAACTCTGTTACATGTTGTAAAACATTTTTATATTGTATTACATTATGCCACTCAGACACAATGACAAAGAAAAAATTTAGTAAAGTTTATAAAATTTGATGGTGGTGGACCCCACTGTCTCCAAGATATGATAAGTACAATCAGGTACTGAGATGAGTACAGTCAGGTACTTGCCATCCAAATACCTGAGTTTGCTTTGCAAACACCGATTTAATGTTCAGCTGTGACTCAGCTGTGTTGGAGGTGCAAATGGGCATGATGCTGGAGTGGTGGTTAAGCGGCTATTGAAGTTGCACAGTCCTGGAAATTAATGCATCATAGGCTTTCTTATTCTGTAGTCTAGGCGAAGGGAGATTGGACTAACCATAGGTCCTTTCTAGATCTGGTCTGAAGACTTGGGTTTGAGTATCCTTTTAGGTAGGCAAGTTTTATTCCAGCTCTACAGATGGGGAAAAAGCAGCACAAAAATTACTGGGATATCAGCTTTGGGAGGCATTGAGACTACTTCCCCAGTAGGTCTTTGTTAAAGGACTCTTCCATGCAAAGTCTAGGTCTCTGTGTCCTGGTTTACAAAGATTTTTTCTCCTTAGGTTATAGAAATATTTTTTTTTATTATTACTTGTCATTTTTATGCTTAACAATGGTTGTTCTCCTCTATTATGTTTTTCACTTTGCAGGAGGTGCCAGTTTGGATCTGAATTCCGTGGAACCAAAACCAAAAAAGTGGATTCTTGACGTGACATGGCTCAATCTGGTGCAGTTATCTAGCTTGTACCCTTTTAATCAACTTCTGGTGCAAGTTGTTAGGAATGAGAAGTCTTGGAAAGCTTGGTTTGATGAAGAAGCACCTGAAAAAGCTGTTATTCCTGATGGGTATGACAGCTTACTGGATCAATTCCGTAAACTGCTCCTTGTCCGCAGCTGGTGCCCTGATCATACTGTTGCCCAAGTAAGATATGCTTTCGTACAATGGTTATGCCATGTGGCATCTCCTGTAGAACTACTAGTTCCAAACTTAGGTTCTCTGAATTTGTTTTTATCGTCATATGTGTTGCAGAGTGAGCTATATTTAAAATCAGATATTGAAGTCCTTATAATTAATGGATGTGAAAGAAATACTTATTTAACTGTAGTGAATTAGAAAGGACATTGCAAAACATGAAATAAATTGTGTTGGAACTATAAGAATACCATTCTTTTTGTGTGGCACTTCTAAAGTGGAGTAAAGAAATTTGTAAAGGAGTTGCATTCTTCTGGTGAATCAGAAGATACATCTCTATTTTTTTCACAGAAGAAGTGGAAAGAGAACTGTTTACTTTGATGACAGGTGCACTAAAATAGCAGATGAATTGTTTACTTGCTCTCCATGCTGTGGAAGTAATCATTCAGACTGCCTCATGGCAGATATAAAAGAAACTGTGATAGACTAGCAGTTTCTCCACAGTCTGTGATATCTGGATTTTTCTTCTCTGTGTAGATCTAAAAGACATGTATGAGCTTATGAGTATCCTCTTTTCACTTTTTTTTGTCTTTAGCTACACTGGAAAGTAGTACTTCTGATTTCCTGCATATCTCAACTTTACATGTTACATGTTGTGATAGCATCTGTGTTGTATTTAGGGGACACCATTTTTTCATGGACGTCTTTTTCAACAAGACCTCCTCCATCCTTTTTCCTTCTGTTCAGCTGGGAAATAAGAGAGGAGTATGGGAGGTCCATCTGCCACAATTTGAACAGACCAAAATAATAAAGTTCCTACTGTTTATTTATCAACACTCTTATTGTCTTACATAATCATCTTTGAGAAAGACTGTCTCTGAACTGTGATTTCAAAATCTGTAATTATTTTAATTTTTGAGGAAAGAGGGGATCCTTTTTGTGATTATCTTCTTTATCATTTATTTATCTACTGTGTTTCCCCAGGTGTTACAAAATTTTACCTCTCTTTGCTAAGGCAGAAGTTACACTTAATAGTGCATGATTGTGTTATTTTTTCTAGAATTTGTGCCTTCTTCAGTCCGCTTTGTTCCTGGGTGTTTCTCCCCACAATACAGGCCTCAGAATCTGTGCTAGTAGTTTACACACTTGGAAAATCATATCAGTCAAAAAAGCGTTTCATACACCAGGATAGCTTCAGAAGTCCTTTTAGAAAATGTATGTGAAAAGAGGACAATAGGGAAGGTTTGACCTTTTAAGGATAAAGTCTGAGCTGTGTTTACGTTTTGTAGAAAGAGTTAGTCAGCGTAAGAGACTTGAATTGGATAACCACTGGACAGGAGAGTTTGTTTGAAGTTTCCACAAATATATGGAAGATTGTAACTGGGTCAGATGAAAGATCAGTCTAATCTGCTGTGCTGTAGAGACAGCGTCAACAATACATGCTTAGAGGAGCTAAGAATGGGGCTGATACAGAGAAACTCTTTTGTTTGGCTATCCACCAAGCTTTAGCAGTCAGTAATTTAGGGGCAATATCTGGGCTGTCCTCAGAGACGACAGTGGATCTATTGTGTGTGGATTTCTTTAGTTCTTTTTAAAAAACCATTTAGCATCCTCTAGCAACAAGGTTCACAAGATGGCTGCTGTGCGAGCAAAATTCTTTCCTTTCTTTGTTTGAAGTTTGCTGAGAATTTCAATGGTTGCCCCCTGTGGACTGTAACTTTTGTTACACCAAAGTTGAAAGTTTAGAAAGTTGTTGCCTTCCAATGTAGGTATTGGTAAATTCCACATCAGTGATTAATGCTAAATAAAAAATAAATGAAAGGTATGTATTTCTGGGAACTTGTTGTTTTTCAGGCTCGACACTACATTGCAGAATCTCTTGGAGGGAAATATGCAGAAGGATTTGTTCTTGAAATGGAAGCAATGTGGACAGAAAGTGACTGTCGAACACCTTTGACATGCTTTTTATCAATGGGGTCTGACCCCACTGAAAATATAGAACGTCTTGCAAAATCAAAGGTATCTTCATAAACTGAGTTTGCTAGAGCTGATAAAGACATTTAATGATATCCTTTAAACTAGAAATGGCATTTCCACATTTTATAGAAGTTCAGATGATGATATTTATATTCATATCAGTGTTCTCTGGAAGTTAATTTTGGACTAGTAGCCAAAATGCATTTACTGAGGAAATGGAAATGTTACATTATCCAGTTATTTGATTTCAATGAGCCCTCTGTCTTTATCCAGCAGACTATGATAGTTCATTACTTAGTGAAAGTACTTAACTCTAAGAACAAAGCAATATTTGTGGTTTACACTGTATCACATTCACCATAGGAGCTGACAGTAATGATGATTATAGGAAGATACAGAAAAAAGTCATAAATATGGTGACAAGAGACATTAATTTGGAAACCCTGCCATTCAATCAGCTCACTTGATGGAGACATTCAACATTTCGTACAGCGCAGCATCACTTTAAGGCACTCTGTGCTTTATGTTTTGTTGTTCACAGTGTAGATGCAAGTATAATTTTCCCAAGAAGTTATTCACAGGAGATCTCCATAAATTTTTCTCCCTGTTAGAATGTGTCTTCATTTAGACATGCAGGATTTTGGTATGCAATAAGTGAGACTTACTTGCAAAAGTGGAGAGCACCCACAAATCTCTTTAGCTTATTAATTAGAAAGTTGTGATGCTTGTTCTCTTTGTAAATCAGGACTCTCTTATTTTATTTGTCTGACTGTGATAAAGAGTGCTTAAATCATGATCTAACTCACTTGAGTGTTTAAACGTCAGAATCTTAAGTCTGAAGGTGTTGATGTGACTCTTGTCCCCAAAAAATGTGCAGCTGGATAGCCAGTCAATATACAGACATAGGGAGGGAGAAGGATGGCTGTTGCGTGAGCAGGATTTTTAGGTTTATTGGAAGCAATGCATTGGAAGAACAATTTTATTCCTATTTGCAAAATATTCTGTTGCCTTTTTCTAAGATATGAGAGACATTTTGCCTTTGTAGAAGATTTGAAATTAACTGCAAGAATATTTATAGACTAGAAATGGGCATTTTTTAAAATCCCTCTTCAAGTCCAAGTAAAGACATTAAATGGTTGTGATTGGCTTTCTGTTTTCATGGTCTATGGTATTAATACAAGTGGAGTGTCAGCTTTGTGGTGATGTTTTCATTCACCTATTTGGCTCTTCAACACATGTATCCTGTGAAATGGACTCCTAGACAGGTATTTACCCTGTCTCCAGTAGGAGTTAGTTTCTGTAATCAATAGAGTGGCTCCTTTGAAAGCAACGCAGAGCACACAATTGAAACTTAACTCTGACTTGCATCAAGGAGTTGAGTATTTCTATGCCAGTGGCCATGTAAGGGGGCGAGGAACACTAACCTCCTAATAGAGTCACTTGTACTTAGCAGGTCACTTAGAGTCACTCTTGCAAGGAGTGCTACAAAATGCTCTCCCATTAGGTCAAGTCTTAAGCAAGGCATTAGCCTTTCTGGGGAAGTGCTGGTAGGTAGAAGGTGCTCTGTAATTGTGACTGTTACAAGACAGAAATTTTTGCTGTCATTCTGAAAGTATATTGCAGTGGGCAGTTTTAATATGTTTTCATGCTTTAAGGAAAAACATACAGAATAACAGAAAGTGAGGTTGCAAAAGAACTAAAGCTATTGCCTTGTTTATTCACACATGGTTTATGAACAAGGCAACATCAGCTAGGCTGTCATAACCTGAAGTTCAACTGTAATGTCTACGGTAAATGTAAAGTTAACTGTAATGTTTAACTGTAAAGTTCTTGTCTGATCTCTTGAAGTAAAAATCTTAACACACAGCACATAGAAACCTTTCAAATTTACAAAAGCCATCAAGATTCTGCAAATCAAACTACAAACACAGATTTTTTTAAAGTCAAAATATATATTAACATTGTGGGACTGGAATAGCACTTCAGTAGTTCTCTAGCTTTTGAAAAATGTATCTAGAAATCATTTACAGTTTTCAGAAACATTTGCAAGAAGGCTTTGTGTTCATTTTGCTAGTTTGTCAATACATTGTACTTAGTTCCTGTCTTTGGGCTTTCTCTGCTTTTTTCTGGAATAAACCTTTGACTTAGCATAGGTTAGCTGCACCAAGGATCTGATCTTGGTATATATGTGATTCAATACCTCTAAAGTATCCTTTTTTTTTTTTTTTTGCCTTCTTAATGATGGAAAACTTCCAAAAGATATGCTGGGCCTATTTTTCAGTGATTTCCCTGTTACAGGCATAATTTGTAGTCTTAAAATGGATTGTCAGTACTGATGGTACCTCTAAGTATATTAACAATATAAATCAATGATCTGCAGTTGGAAATGTTCAAATTTGTGACCAGAATTTATTTTTCATTCTAAAATATAGTTGTTCAGATGGTCTTCTCCCAAAGAAATGGAAGTAGTATCTGTGACTACTGAGCTATACAACCTTGTTTATAAACCAAGCAAGCTCTATCTTAAAACTAGTTGGATTTCTGCCCCCTTTACCTTCATTCGAAGATAGAGTGAAAATTTAACTTTCTGAATTAAAATGAAGTTCATTATGCCTAGCACTTTGACTTCATTAAAGCCAGATATTTTTATTATTGTAGAGATAGTTTCTTCTTTCAGGGAATGATGCACAGGACCTTGAACAGAACTGTCAGGGCCACTGTAGTGACTAAAATGATAGTATTTTCACCTGGATAGAGATGTATTAGGATGACACAGATAGATTGGTATGACTCACTATTGGGAGAAACATTCTGTACACAGACATTTTGACAGAGTTCTTTCAGAAGGAGTAAAATGAGGACAATCCATAGTGAAAAATATTCTTTCCTTGTCTTGATGTTCCTATAACCTTTAATGATTGTACGTTTGAGAGGTAACATTGCTGAGAAGAGCAAATTATTCCCTTTGTTAGGGAATAATGTACCAGCTGAATATTTATGCACTCTGCAGGGTTAGTCATAGTCTTTGACTTATGGGAGTGCTACCTGTACTCAGATACATCTTAGAAAAGGTAAAGTTTTTGCTCCTCCAGCACATAGCCAGCTCACAGGCTATTTAGCCTTGCTTCTTTTAGCTGCAATTTCAGGTTTTACTGACCTGAGAGCAGGATTTAACTGCTTTCTTATCTTTGGCATTCTCTTCGCCTTAAATCTTTTGCCACGATGTGGAGGATCATATATAGCACCTGTATTTATACTGTTCAGTAAAATCAGGTCAGGGCCTGTTCTCTGACCCTGAGGCCAAATGACCCATCACAGCTTGTGTCCATACACTTAACCCTTTTCTCCTGCAAAAGTAGGGCAGGCTGTTTAGAACTGGGTGGCTTCTTTCTTTTTTATTTCACAGTGAGAGAGTCCCAGAAGCAGGAAAACTTAAGATTTACCTTTGTAGCTGTCAGCCAGTTGAAGATAGGCCCAGACTGATAAGTCTTTATGCAGCTTATTGCCCACAGCATGGGGGATACTCAGCTGTAGGTCTTGAACATGAAGCTCTCCATGAAACAATGTTTTTTCATCAATTCCCTTTGCCCTCAACATGTATATAGAATAATATTCTCAACTGGGTTTGATAATTCTGGTTTTCCCTGGTGGGAGTCAGGCAGCTAACCTAAGCCAGGAGACTACTTATGTAACAAGTACAAGGGCAGTAAGAACAATCAGCAAGAGGGGGTCTGCCTGCACATTACTTAAGAGTCTTGTATGGTCCTGCTTACAACCTACTCAGCCTGTCTTTTTCAGATCCCCATGTGAGAGCTTGTATCATCATCTGTTTTTCTGAACTACTGGCTTTCTTCTCCCATGGCCTCTGGAGGAAAGACTCCATAAATTTCCAGAATTCTTGTGTTTGCATTTCTGAGCTTTGTCTCTTCTGAATCCAGAAAACTAACAGCTAGAAAACTAGCTAGAGTTAGCAGATCACCAAACTAGAATCCTCTGAATCAGTGGCTCCATAGCTGCCAAATAACGATACAGGATGTTTGCTAAGGAATGACTTAATGTGAACCAATCTTTCCTGTCCTTCCTGCTTCCTTGACAGTTCTCTGTTAAATGAAATAAATATATTCAGACACTAAAAGACACCAAAATTGTTGGCTTTACTCTGTGCATTAATTATTACGTGGAGCCTTAATATCTGTCCATCGCAACATAGTCCACATCATAGGAAGAAGAATAGTCAGATAGCTATGTTTCTGTGTGTACGTCCTGCTTTATTTAGGAAAATGGGGAAAAGGAAGGGAAAATGTTCCAGTTGTCTTATCCCATTGACTTTGTCAGACCTGCAAAAAAAAATTATGTCCAAGAGGTGTAGTTTTCTTTCAGCAGGCGGAAGATAAGAGAAACTTGGAGGGTTTTGCTTTTTTGTTTACTACATTTTAATATAATCATTCTCCATTGATATAAGCAGTTTTCTTTGTGGCACAATGTCACTACATATGGACCTACAGAAGCAATATATCATGTGTATAATCATTTTAAAGAACTCTATATAAAAGAAACTTTCTTTTTTTCCTTCCAGAACATTCCCTGTCGTGCCATTTCAATGGGTCAGGGCCAGGAAGTCCATGCAAGGCGCCTGTTAAATCAATGCATGCAAGATGGAGGATGGCTCCTTCTACAGAACTGCCACCTTGGCTTGGAGTTTCTTAGTGAATTAATGGACACCATTGCAACAACAGAATCTATGAGTGAAGGTTTCAGGACCTGGATCACTACAGAGGCTCACCCAGAGTTTCCTATTAATCTTTTACAGTCCTCTATCAAATTTACTAATGAACCCCCTCAAGGTAGGAAACCATGCTTTTTTTGAATTTTGGGGCTTGCTTTCATCTCTTCCTCCTCTCTGTATCACTATACTCTGTGCAGTGTTTTGGTTTTTATTCTCTGTTGTTACGTTAGTTAAATACAGCACTGTGTGAGTCAGTCTTGCGATGTGTAAAGCATGACTCTTTTGGGAACAAAATAGGTATTGTTTGGTTTTGCAACAGAGATTGATGGTGATTTTGTTGTTTGTGTAGAATATGTGGAGAATGCCAGATCAGTGGACCTTTCTTAAGTTTAGTACACTTCATCACTCTTTTCCTTCTGTCCTGTTGACCCCATCCAAGGATGCAGAGGGGGAGTGATCCTGTGCTCTACTGGGTAAGAAAAAAGGAAGGACTCTTCTGAACGCTCAACCGCCCAAGCGGTGCAGTATGTAGCTGTGGTTGTTGCTTCTTGTTATGTCATCTGGCACTGCTGACAGGAGACTGACCCCAGCTTCTTTGTAATTGTCCTTCAAGTATTTGTAAGCTGCTGCTGAATCACCTCAGCCTCTGTCACAGGCAAGACAGTTAATAACAACCCTTAGTGGATCTGAATACTGGGGTTTACTTAAGAACTATGAGATTAGGGCTTTTATGCTACTTGCTTATTTTACACACTCACTCGCTCATGCTCCCAGCCTCCTGTATTGCATTCATTATGTCTTGACTTCCCTTCCCATCAGAGAGATTGCTGCTGGTCCGGGAAGGTCGGGCAGAAAGTCATGCCGGTTTCATGCTGTGCAGCTACTTGCAGCTACCAGTCTTGGACATTACTGGCCTAGGTCCCTGGGCATCCTTTGGCATTTGCCTCTGTGCATCTCTCCTGCCTCCACGATCTTTCCCCACTTCCAGGATGTTTCCTCAAGCTAGGATGTTCATTTCATGCTTTCTGGGCCTCTAAGCCCTCAGTTTTCCTAACCTAAGCAGTCTATGTGCAGAAGCACAATCTGTGATCAGTGTCCTAATTGGAAGTTCTGACTCATGTTTCTGTATTAATTGGAGGATTCAGGATGTTTCACTTTTTGCAGCCTGTACCATTCACAGCTAGCACGTAGCAGATTTGTCCTTGAGGGTTCAAAATTCCAGTTTTGGACAGCCACCATCCCTCATACATGCACACAATTATCTGCTGCCTTTCACTATTCACAGTTTAAACTGGTTTTTGCATTCTACCGACTTCTCTTCAACAGACTAAACAAACTCAGCCTTCTTCTCCTGTTTTTGTAGGTCATTGACGTGGTTTAGGCCCAGCCGGTAGCTAAGTGCCACGCGGCCACTCACTCACTCCTTCCCCAGCGGGACGGGGAGGAGAGCGGGAAAAAACAACAGCAAAGCCTCGAGGGTTGGGATAAGGGCAGTTTACTGGGACAGCAAGGGAGAGGGAAAAACAATCAACAACAGTGCTGATAACAAATATTAACAATGGGTGATAACAGAGAACAATTTACCGAACCAATGACCGACCAGACACTCAGCCCGTCCCAGAACCGTGCCGAAACTGCGCCGCCCCTCCCTTGCCCGACTAGCCCCCTTTTATGGGGAGCATGATGTCACATGGTATGGAATAGCCCCCGGCCAGCTTGGCTCATCTGTCCTGGCTCCTTGGGAAATTAACTCTATCCTTGCCAGAACCAGGACAGTCATGCACTCTCAGTATCTGACCACCTTTATTGCCCCATCCAGTTTCTCCACACCTCCCTTGTGTGCCAAATGCGGACAATATATCTGAGGGGAAGCCTGATCAGTGCTAAGTGGACAGTGATAAGAACTTCCTTTAGTCTACTGGCTGTGCTTCTTCTAAGGTAGCCCACTATGTGGATTACCTTATTTGCAAGAAGAGTGCAAGTTTGGTTTATAGTCAACCTAGCGTCTGTAATAATCCTGAAGTTCTTACCAGTAGATCTCAGCTAGCAGATCTCAGCTTGTACAAATGCATGGGGTTATTGTGCTGCAGGTGCAGAACTTTACACTTCTCCTTGTTGAACTTCATGTAGGTTTTGTTGGCCAAGTCTTCATCTCTGTCTAGATCCCTCTACACTGATGCTCTGCCATTTAGTATGTGAGCCTCACTCTCTAATTTAGTATTGTCTGCAAAATTGTTGGGGTTGCCTTTTGTCTCCTTACCCAAATCACTGATGAAGATATTGAAGAATATCTGTCTCTGGTGTACTTTGCTTTTTTTCTGGCTGCAAGGATATCTTAAGCCATTGATTACTTATGATTCTCTGAGCCTAGTACCCAACCTGCTAGCCTTCTACAATAAGGTGATGGGTTTAGTGGATGAGGGGAGAGCATAGAGTGTTGCATATTTTAACTTGAAGAAGGCTTTTGACACAGCCCGCCCAGTACATCCTTATAGACATACTGATGAAGTAGGCATTACAGAAGTGGACAGTGAAGTGGATTGAAAATTGTGTGAACTCACAGGCTCAGAGGGTTGTGGTCAGCTGGACAAATCCATCTGGAGAGCAGTCACCAGTGATGTACCCCAGGGGACAATAATGGGGGCAGCAGTGGTTAAAATTTTCACTAATGACCTGGATGATGGGACACCCTCAGCAAGTTTATACTTGATACAAAGGTGGAAGAAGGGGCTGATACACCAGAAGGTCATGTTGTTGTTCAGTGGGAGTTTCACAGGCTGGAGAAATGGTCTGACAGGAATCTGCTGAACTTCAACACAGGGACATGCCAAGTACTTCCCCTGGGGAGAAAACCTCATGCACCCATACACGATGGGGCTTACCAGCAGTAAAGCAGGTTTGCAGAAAAGGACCTGGGGTTCCTGATTGAAATCAAGTGGAACATGAGCCAGCAATACACCCTTGGAGCAAAGATGGCCTGCAACACCCTCAGCTGCATTAGGAAGATCATTTCCAGCAGGTTGAGGAAGGTGATTCTTCTCTAGTCAGCCATAAGAGCACATTTGGAGTGGTGTGTCCAGGTCTGACCTCCCCAGTGCAAGAAAGACATGGACAGAATGAGTCCAGTGAGAGACCACAAATATGTTGAAGGGATTGGAGAACATGACATACAAGGAGAAGCCGAGAGCACTATGATTATTTAACCTTGAGGAGATAAGGGATATCTTATCAATGCATATAAATATGTGATGGGAGTGAGTAAAGAAAAGAGCAAGACTTTTCTCAGTGGTGCCTAGTGAGAGAAAGAGAGGTGATGGGCACAAATTAAAATCCATGGAATTCCACTTCAGCATCAGAAAAAACTTAACCCACTGTGAGGGTGGTCAAAGACTTGAACAGCTTGTTCAGTGAGTTTGCAGACTCCATCCTCAAAACCCACATGGACAAGACACTGAGGAACCAGCTCTAGCTGACCCTGCTTTGAGAAGGGGTTTTGCGCAAGGTGACCTCCAGAGGTCCCTTCCATCCTCAACTATTTGGTTTTATTGTGTGATATGAAAACATCCAGCTTTTCTAAGTAGTCTCTAACCTGTTGCTCTCCTGCTGTTGAATGTCTCTCTCTTACCAGAATTATGCTGCTACCTGCAGATGTCCTTTATATACTTACAGAAACAGCTTACTAGCCTGCCTTATATCTACTCATTATGCACAATGAGGGAAGGTTACTTTGTATTTTGGACTCTGGCAGAAAGAAATCCCAAGCTTGACACTTTTTTTGTCTTTTAACTCCCTCGTCTTTAAACTAACTGTGTAATGCATTAACTTGCCCTTCACTTACATATATATGTGTTGCCACTGATTTCAGTTAATGAAGTCAGTAGGAGCTGAGAATTTTTATCCAAGGTCATATTTAATGCCTCAATCATTTAAACCTCTTATTTCAGTATTCATCTTCCTTTGAACATTACTAAGATGTCTACAAAATGTCTAATCTTGTGAAAGACATCCTGTTTCAGTGTATATACTCCACTCTCAAGAGCAGTTAGTCAGTCTGCTGTTAAAAATTTCTTACTTCTTTCTCTTCTCCTCCCCCCTTTTTAATTCAGTGCTCAGCATCTTTTTATTGTACTGTGACCCCTCCTTATCATTCAAATGATACACACCCTATAGCTCCAAGAGGCTATTTTATAAGTCAGGTTACAACCAATTTACGACTTGCATTTAGTAATGGAAATATGCCCAGTGTAACAATATAAGTCAGGATGAAATATAAACAGTTTTAGTTTTCTGATACTGTCCTGCCACATTGGTAGCATAATGTGATAAGGCACTTTTGTTTGATTACTTTGTCTTGATTTTGGAACTCTCTTATGATACCCTTATAATATTTTGAAAAACTATTTGTTTGAATATTGTTCTACAGGATCTTTGTGAAGTAGGAAAAAAGGAAAAGGGCTTTTATTGTGTCACAGGAAGTATGACGACTTCGGCAATCTATTCACTGCACTTGAAATCTGTCTTTTTTAGACTTGTGTTAAGCTGATTAGGTGGAAGATATCATAAGAGGGACTCGGTGTCAGTAACTCATGCTCAGTCTAGTCTGCCAAAGGCAGACGATGCTTCAATAACCCTGCCTGAAAGCATCTGGGAGTAGTGGAGCTTGTGTGTTCTATGGAAGCTGAGATTGTATCAGTATCATCTGCCTAAAGCTGTTCCTGGGATTTGAAATGTCAGTGCTCAAACAAACCTCCCCAAGTATTAGTATTTCCACTACAAATTCGGGTTCTCATCTCATCAGCTTGGTACATGTATGTTAGTTTGAGAAGGCACATACAGAATTTTGAGCTTGTTATAGGAATGAATTCTAAATAAAATTGTCTTTGGTAGAACTAAAATCTCACTTTATATGTAAATATTGAAACACAAACTCTTGAATATTCAGTGCTATATTTCATATGACATTAGGTGTCTTTTTCATTGCCATATAGTTGCTGAATAGTTATGTTTATATTTCAGTTGTTATTGTAACATTTAGAATATGATTACTTAAGTGTAATTCCTTCCAGACTCCTGAACTTAATTTAGTGTGTCATCTACCTGAAACAAAATGTAATTTAAGTTTGTCTGCCTTGACCAGATGAATAGATAATTGACTCAAAGAGATTATGTGAAGCTATAAATAAGATGATATTGTAAATTGGAATAGAAAATTCTGCTTAACGGAAGTTGTAGTTATGGGTTCCATACATCTTTTTGCTCATATATTATATTTTTATGCTTATTTTCTAGGTGTGAAAGCTGGTTTAAAACGAACATACTCGGCTGTTACTCAGGATCACCTAGAAGTGAGCAACATGCCACAGTGGAAACCATTGCTATATGCTGTAGCATTTCTTCACACAACTGTTCAGGTTTAAAAATACGTTTCTTTTCTTCTGTCATAAAGCCATGTTTCATTTTTTAATGCACTGTGTTATTAGATGAAAAACGTTTAAATGGAAATCCCATGTTGGTAAATTAATACAAATAAAATAAGAAAGAAAACAACGTGCCTCTATTACTACAACTGTCTTAGAACTCTGCTCATGTTGATCTTGTACCTCCAACAGAGATGGTATTTCAGAGTAAAAAAAGGAGAGTCAACCAATAATCATTTAGTGTACTCTTCCATTAAAATCTTTGGGCATGGCTGTGTGATCTGTCTTCAACTAACTGTTTTTTACTAATATTTTCAATCATAAAAGCACATTAAAGAAATTTACAGCTTGGGTTGGAAAACCATAGTCTTAAAACTGCTGCTTTCACAATGAGAAGCTGTAAGAGGGTGAATATAAATCCTTCCTGCACTGAAACCTGTAGGCGGAAATGAAGGTGGAAGATGATTTTGGGTCTTGTCTTTCAGGAGTTCCATTAAAGAAAGTGCTTTATGGGTTAACCACAGGTTTTTATCATTCTATTGATAGATCTTGCAGTATCCTTAGTTTATATTTGGTGCCTAGTTAATTTAACTCTGTGGCATCCATGCACTGATATGTTGTGGTCCAATGGAAGCCTGTGCTATGCTTGTCTTTGTCCCATCGCTTCTTTCTTTTTGAAAATTAAGAATGTTTAAATACCAGATATTGCCCTAACAACCACATACTGCCAGCTGCATCTGTAAATGATTCAGTAAGAAGCAGCTTTTGCTACTTGCATCTGCACCATGCAGAGACATCAGTGGTATGAATATACATAGTCTATAGGAGGACCACAGACAATGATCATGGCTGATTAGTTTGGACATCCTTTCCTAAAACAGTAACTTCATTTTTGAAATTCAAACCCTATAGTTCTAGACTCACAGATTTACTGCATGTAAAAAAGCGGATTTTTTCTTTGTGAAAATGTTAATATTCCTATTCTTTGTTTGTATCTCTCTACTGATGATGATAAATGAAGAAATATTTAACTACGAGATGATTAATCAAGCAATTTGACCTTGTGTGTGTGTGTGTGTGTTAAGAGAAGAATAATTTTTTTTAAAGTTGGTGAAATACACCCCCAGCTGGACTACTGTGTTCTTAGCCTATTTCATGTATTCTTCTGCACTTAATGTTTTCTTTACAATTACTATCAATCAGCCTTTTACCTTTACCTCTATCTATTTTACAGGAAAGGCGAAAGTTTGGTCCATTGGGTTGGAATATTCCTTATGAATTTAATCAGGCAGACTTCACAGCCAGTGTGCAATTTGTTCAGAATCATTTGGATGATATGGATATTAAATGTGGAGTGAACTGGAGCTGTGTTCGCTATATGCTCGGAGAAGTACAGTATGGTGGCCGTGTAACTGATGACCTTGACAAAGCACTGCTGAATACATATGCAAGAGTGTGGTTTGGAGAGCATATGTTTAGTGAAACATTTTGTTTCTACAAAGATTATGTTATTCCAAAAGGGAAAACAGTTGAAGACTATCTCCAGTACATAGAGCAATTGCCAGTGATTGATACACCTCAGGTAAAATATTTCAAAGTATTAAAGGGAATTTTTGTCACATAAATAATCAGGTCTATTTTCCACAGCCATGAATGTATAGGTCAAGATTAGCAAGCAGACCATTATAGTGGGTGTCTAGTGTGGATCTGCTGACTAGGAAGAGGTAGATGAGGCCTTCTTAGCCTGGAGAAAAGAAGGCGCTGGGGAGATCTAATCGCGGCTTTCCAGTACCTGAAGGAGGACTACAGGAAAGATAGAGAGGGACTGTAGTGATATGACAAGAGGTAATGGATTAAAACTAAAAGAGGGTGGGTTTAGATTAGATATAAGGAAAAAATTCTTCCCTGTGAGGGTGGTGAGGCACTGGAACAGGTTGCCCGAAGAAGTTGTGGATGCCTGACGTGGTTTAGCCCCAGCCGCTCGCTCACCCCTCCCCCGGCAGGCTGGGGAGGAGAACGGAAAAACAAGGGCAAAGCCTCGAGGGTTGGGATAAGGGCAGTTTACTGGGACAGCAAGGGAGAGGGAAACAATCAACAACAGTGCTGATAACAGATAGTAACAATGGGTGATAACAGAGAACGATTTTACCGATCCGACGACCGACCGACCGGACGCTCGCACGTCCC